TTCAATAGGATTGAAGTCAGGGGAGAATGAAGGCCACACCATGACTTTCTCTCCTTTTATCCCCATAGCAGCCATTGATGCAGAGGTATTCTTTGCAGCATGAGATGGTGCATTGTCATGCATGAAGATAATTTTATTACGGAAAGCATAGTTCTTCCTTCTGTACCAGGGAAGAAAGTGGTCAGTCATAAACTCCACATACTTTGCAGAGGTCATCTTTACACCTTCGGGGACCCTAAAGGGGCCGACCAGCTCTGTTCCCATGATTCCGGCCCAAAACATGACTCCACCACCGCCTTGCTGACGTCGCAGCCTTGTTGGAACAGGATGGCTGTCCACCAACCATCCACTACTCTTTCCATCTGGACCATCCAGGGTTGCATGGCACTCATCAGCGAACAGGACTGCTTGAAAATTAGTCTTCATGTATTTTTCTGCCTAATGCAGTCATTTCTGCTTGTGAGCATTGGTTAGAGGTGGCCGAATAGAAGGTTTATGCACAATTGCAAGACTCTGGAGGACTCTACACCTTGATGTCCGTGGGACTCCAGAGGCACCAGCAGCTTCAAATATCTGTTTGCTGCTATGTAATGGTATTTTAGCAGCTGCTCTCTTGATCCGATTTATGGATCTGGCAGAAATCTTCCTCAATGTGCCTTTATCTGCACAAACCTATCTGTGCTCTGAATGAGCCACAAATCTCTTAATAGTGCGATGATCACGCTTAAGTTTTCGTGAAATATCTCATGTTTTCATACCTCGTCCAAGGCATTGAACTATTTCACTCTTTTCGGCAGCAGAGAGATCCTTTTTCTTCCCCATATTGCTTGAAAATGGTGCTCTGCTTAATAATGTGGAACACCCTCCTTTAGTAGTTTTTCCTTAAATTGGGCTCAGCGGCCAATCTAATTATCACAGGTGTCCGTGATTGTTTTCAGTGATCAAAAGAGCCCTGACACACAATGCCATCCATGAGTTACACTGAAAAACAAAATATTTCATCTTTGTGACACTTAAATAGAATTTGCATAATAATTTGGAACGCGGTGTATATGTAGACCATATTATCAGCATTATACGTATCTTCTTTAAAATAGGGGGTAATTATAATGAAATAATTTGGCAAAATTAGATGTCAAAGAGAAAGCCTTAGTAGACCAGGTACAGTAAAATGATCAACGAAGTCTCACACACTCAGGAGGAAGAATACCTATAGGCATAGCTATGGATTTAGTAAAGTTAACCGGAAGATCCAAAAGGGAAGTGAATTTAAGTAAGTAAAGTGTAAGTAAATCTGGCAAGGACATAGCTGGCTGAGAGAAAAACATCACCACATCATCAGCATGGAGAATTAAGAACAGCCAACTGGGAAAGTGAAAGGGTAGGTATTGCTATAGTATCTAATCAGAATAAAGCCAATGGGGGGATAGAATTGGTAGGTGTAGACAATACTTTGGTGTAAAAATCCTCAAAAAGTTTCAAAGCATTTTTAGGTAGTGAGACTATTTGATCCAATTTGTTGCAGTTTGTAAACATGGGGGGGTTACAACATTTTTTATGAAGCTTATGCGCAAACACTGTAGAAGCTGAGTTACTGCGCAAAAGAAGTTTTGCTGTAGACTACCTAAGTGATCTCTCTTCCTCAAATACGGTTTTATTTTAAAACAGTCAAACAACAAAACCACGGTACAACTTCAAAATCACAATACTTGGAAATATATATATATATATATATATATATATATTGTTTACTGTATCTCTACCGCTATCATGCCCATGTGGGATAATTCTTTTGAACATACAGCCTCCTCATTACTTTACTAGGCAGGTCTGAGCAGAAAAAATGCATTGTTATGATGCAACTAGAGCTTCTCCTGCTCTACATTAATAGTGCCTTGAACATGATGTGGGAGACAGAGTGGCCACAGAAGAGAAGTAAAGAAAAGACTGATTAGCCATCACAGGTAACGTAGGTCAAAGCATTAAATGGGTACATTTTGCAATTACACAAGCTTCTCTTTTTAAAGCAATTATATGCTTTATTTGTTTATTTTTTTATTAGCCCTGAGTCCTTTAAATGCTCTAGGAAAGCAAGAGCCAGACTGCTCAAGGGCACATGTCATATACTGTAGGAGGTGAATGCATTCAGTTTATAAAACGATTACTTAAATTGTATTGTATCAGTTTTTGGAATATTTATGTGAACTGGAGTTCTGTGTTTAACTTAAAGCCTAACTCCTTTTATCTTGGCTCCTGGTGCTGAACATAGTGGTTGGAGAGCAAAGGAATGGCAAGTATATGCTACTAGGGATAAGGGTAAACAAACCTGTTGCTTGGCCCTAAATGGACAAAACACTGATTTCATTTAATTTAATAAAAGTATAAAACAAGAAAACAAACACGTAATACAGACAATTACAATGCAGGTGCGTAATACAGTTTGACATTTTGACAATAAATAATACAAGGAGCAAAATCCTATAGCAACACATCAGAATTCCATTAATTAATCACTAGCCTACAGGGCACTTATACCCCCTTCCTGCCAAGGCCAATTTTCAGCTTTCGGCGCTGTCGCACTTTTAATGAAAATTGCATGGTCATGCAACACTGTATCCATATGACATTTTTATCATTTTTTTTCACACAAATAGAGCTTTTTTTTGTGTGGTATTTAATCACCATTGTGTGTTTTATTTTTTTCTCTAGAAACAAAAAAAGAGCAAAAAAACTTGAGAAAAAAAAGTTTTTCTTTTATAAAATTTTGCAAACAGGTAATTTTTCTCCTTTACTGATGTGCGTTGATTAGGCAGCACTGATAAGGAGGCACTGACTGGCAGCATCGATTAGCGGAACTGCTGGAGGGCACTGATCATCAGTGCCGATCTCCTCTGTGACAGCAGCCAGTTATCGGCAGTACTTTCCTCACGCTGTGATGGCAACTGTATTAACTCCGTGATCTGCTGTGTCATTGGACACAGCTGATTACGTGGTAAAAGGCCGCTCTGATTGGCTGTTTACCCCCATCACGTGATCACGGAGATTGGCAGGTGCACGCCCCTTTGGGAGCACGGAAGGGAGTGTTCTGGGAGGAAATCATATGTTGGCCTCCCAGAACTGGGTAACTGCGCTGTAGTCATTTGGCTATAGTGCGATTATCAAGTGGTTCAACCAATTTTAGGGTATAAGCCTGATATTAATAGTAACACTGGTAATATATCTGTGTAATACAAGACAACCTTTTTTTTTCTAAAACACCTTCTACAAGTGCTCAAATTGTTTCAAATCTTTGGTAGTTCACTATTAGGAGAAACACTAACAGAATAGCTATGGAATTATCTTTGTTGACACAATAGTCTGACATAGGTTAGTTTTACCCCTCAACATCTACGGTTCAGTTTTATCAAAGGGCACACTCATCTAAAAATATATCAGCAGTATGTATAGAATATGTACTAACTGAGCAGGTTTCCCTGGTAAAATATTTGTCTAAAGCTGGCCATTATACAATTTTCTTATTATATTTCCTTTAGATTTCCCTTCAACTATGTACTGCAAGGACCTGCCTGATTGTATTCAAATTGAAAGTGTTTATGTCTAACCTCATATTATATGGTTTTGGTAAATCTGAAGGAAAATTGTGCAAGAAAATTGTCTAATATATGGCCAGCCTAACTCATACAAAACTCAACCAGTTTCCAGGAGTCTATGATTTAGATATGACCAGCTCCAGCCAAAAAAGTTTTTTTTTTTTTTCAAGATACATAATAATGCCCTATCGGGTTTTTATTCGTGGTCTGTGTCCCCAATGGGAGAATTTAAGACAGGAATAGATGAAAAATCTTTCCAGTCTCTGATTTTGATTATGGTGTGTGCAGTCCTGCCCCAGCAATAACCACTCTCCTCAGTTTTTGTTGTGCTGCTGTTACAGGAACAGGACGCGAGGTAAAATCTCAACAGGGCTGCAGACAGACGTAAAACGGCACCACATCATAATGGAAGTAATGTTTGCATCTAATGCAGATAGTGTGTTGTGCTATGCAGTGTGAAGAAGCACATTTGCCTTATTGTCATGGATACCTTCAGATCATTATGCCAATCAGCATTCAGCACACATGCTTCCTCATGCTTGAACATTTTGCCTGGTGGCTTCAATGTGCATATAAATACTTCTCAGAGTCCTAATTGATATCTGATCTTGTACGTCAAGTCTTGTTACTACTTGTTATTACATCTGTGACTTTAAATAACCATCATTACAGTAACTTTCAATATGTAACAGTATTGTCATCTATCTATCGACTTGCTGTTCCATACAGATTTGATTGCTCTGACTAATATACAGTTTCACCCTAGTGGCTACAATTTTTTATAAACAATGATGCTATGAATGACATAGTAAAAAGAACAAAAAAAAAAAAAAATTCACCTTACATTTTCAATTAACAATGTAAATAAGAACTTAGAGATGAGGCCGCCTATCAACTAATTAATGAAGATACACAGTTTGAAGTCCGGTTTCTCACCATTTTATTGGAGCAATAAAATGTGCGTAAAAAATACATAAAATGGGTAAAAGTGACAGGCGCGCACATACTCCACTTTCACACACAACGTACGACACACTCACACACAGTGTCACATATACATAGTGTTGCACAAGCAGTGTCATTCAGGGGCATGTACGCATCATCTACAACATAAAAGATCAGTGACTATACAGTAGATTCATCCCATAAGGAGACCATTTCTTGTGAGGACTCCAGTCTTTGACATGGATGAAGTATAGGTGACCTTTTCATTTCTCACATAACGGTCCTGTGGATGCCCAGTTTCCTTTTTGGTGAGGTCCTTTCACTCTTAATTTGGTCTCCAGATTATATGAGGTGCCTTTGTACATTTTTAAGATAAAAATATAAGTAGATATGAACTCTGTCCTCTTGTTTTAAAAAGGTGGCCTTCAGTATATATATATGAATAAAGTTTTAGATTTTGAGGGGTCAAAGTCGAGTAGCTTCATCACTTGAGTCCTCTGGGGTCTGTAAATTATCCCCATCTCCAAGCTCTGATCCCCAGCCACGTGTGATAGAAGATGGGGTGCTCTGTGTAGAAGATGGAGGGCCTGAACTCCCCCCACCCCAGCTGCCTCCCTCCTCTTGCAGATATCGCCGAACTTCCTGGGGTAACTGTCGGAACTCAGCTTGGCACTCCTCTTCCAACTGGGCCATCAGCTAAAAAAAAAAAAAATAAAATAAAAAAATGATAAAGCGGTAAATAAGAGGAATTTTGACTTGCCTGTAAATTCCATATCTTGAAGTATATTACAGGACACAGGCAGAATATTCATACACCATGGTTATACACATGTACTTTCTCTACTTACTTATGCTTTCGCTATAAACCTACCCCACTCCATAAGTCTTCCCTTTTTTTTTTTCTGCAAGCCATGGAGAGGAAATTAAAAAAAGGAAGGAAGGGCTGCATGTATCTTTTAAATTCCCTATCTTGGGGTACAGTACAAGTTAAAAATCCTATTATCCTAATTATACTCCACAGGACACAGGCAGAATATCCATACCCCATCCATACCCGCGGGGGGGGGGGGGGGGGGGGGGCTCAATACAAGATAAACCTTGAAGAAAGTTTTTTTGTGAAAGTTTAGACAGAGGCCTTTGAAAAGAATTACGAAGACTGAGACTGGACCAAGGCAAATCAAGACAAGAAGACTACTTGTTCAAGGCCAACAATATTTTTTTGTTGGATTGTTCCTGAATGGAATTGTGTGGATGGTACAGCTTTGAATGGGGCTGCCATTACACCTAGAACTCTCATGCAGAATCTCAATGTGGGATGCCTCTTGTGTTTCAAGACTCAAGCATGTGCTCTTACAGCACAAGATTTCTTTCCGGTAGAAAGCAGTTTGCTTGGGATGTGATGAGAACCAGACCCAAGTATTCCAAACTGATGGAAGGCCTGGAGAGCAGATATTTTGTTAATTTGATTACCTATCCCAAGGCCTGGAGCAATTGATTTTGAGAATATTTTCTGATTTCTTCAAGGGAGATAAGTCCTTAAGAAGGTCATCTAGGTAGACTGTGACTTGAGTTCTGCGCAGGGCCAGCATAGGTGCTAAGACTTTTGTAAACACTTTTGAAGCAGTGGATAGGCAAAGGACAGTGCGAGAAACTGGAAGTGGTTGTCTGCCAATGCAAAGGGCAAAAAGCACTGATGAGGTGGGTAAATAAGAACATGTACAGCCAGGTCCATAAATATTGGGACATCAACACAATTCTAACATTTTTGGCTCTATACACCACCACAATGGATTTCAAATGAAACGAACAAGATGTGCTTTAACTGCAGACTGTCAGCTTTAATTTGAGGGTATTCAGCTGTTCCATGGCCAGGTGTGTGTTATTCCCTCATTATCCCAATTACAATGAGCAGATATAAGGTCCAGAGTTCATTTCAAGTGTGCTATTTGCATTTGGAATCTGTTGCTGTCAACTCTCAAGATGAGATCCAAAGAGCTGTCACTATCAGTGAAGCAAGCCATCATTAGGCTGAAAAAACAAAACAAACCCATCAGAGAGATAGCAAAAACATTAGGCGTGGCCAAAACAACTGTTTGGAACATTCTTAAAAAGAAGGAACGCGCCGGTGAGTTCAGAAACACCAAAAGACCCGAAAGACCACAGAAAACAACTGTGGTGGATGACCGAAGAATTCTTTCCCTGGTGAAGAAAACACCCTTCACAACAGTTGGCCAGATCAAGAACACTCTCCAGGAGGTAGGTGTATGTGTGTCAAAGTCAACAATCAAGAGAAGACTTCACCAGAGTGAATACAGAGGGTTCACCACAAGATGTAAACCATTGGTGAGCCTCAAAATCAGGAAGGCCAGATTAGAGTTTGCCAAACGACAGCTAAAAAAAGCCTTCACAGTTCTGGAACAACATCCTATGGACAGATGAGACCAAGATCAACTTGTACCAGAGTGATGGGAAGAGAAGAGTATGGAGAAAGAAAGGAACTGCTCATGATCCTAAGCATACCACCTCATCAGTGAAGCATGGTGGTGGTAGTGTCATGGCGTGGGCATGTATGGCTGCCAATGGAACTGGTTCTCTTGTATTTATTGATGATGTGACTGCTGACAAAAACAACAGGATGAATTCTGAAGTGTTTCAGGCAATATTATCTGCTCATATTCAGCCAAATGCTTCATAACTCATTGGACGCCGCTTCACAGTGCAGATGGACAATGACCCAAAGCATACTGCAAAAGCAACCAAAGAGTTTTTTAAGGGAAAGAAGTGGAATGTTATGCAATGGCCAAGTCAATCACCTGACCTGAATCCGATTGAGCATGCATTTTACTTGCTGAAGACAAAACTGAAGGGAAAATGCCCCAAGAACAAGCAGGAACTGAAGACAGTTGCAGTAGAGGCCTGGCAGAGCATCACCAGGGATGAAACCCAGCGTCTGGTGATGTCTATGCGTTCCAGACTTCAGGCTGTAATTGACTGCAAAGGATTTGCAACCAAGTATTAAAAAGTGAAAGTTTGATTTATGATTATTATTCTGTCCCATTACTTTTGGTCCCTTAACAAGTGGGAGGCACATATGCAAACTGTTGTAATTCCTACACCATTCACCTGATTTGGATGTAAATACCCTCAAATTAAAGCTGACAGTCTGCAGTTAAAGCAAATCTTGTTTGTTTCATTTCAAATCAACTGTGGTGGTGCATAGAGCCAAAAATGTTAGAATTATGTTGATGTCCCAATATTTATGGACCTGACTGTACATAGACATGTTTATAGATGTCATGCATTTCCATTGTCTCAGATAGGCAATTATTTACCTTGCATCGTTCCATGTAAAATTTTGGAATTAGAGGGAATTTGTTCAGGGATTTTAAGAATTCAGAATAAGACAAATACACCTATTGTGTTTTGGTACTGTAAACTGGTTTGAGAAGAATCCTCTGAACCTCTTTGTGGTATTGGTACAATAACTCCCTGAAAAAAGAGGTGGTTTAGTGTATTTTGTAAATCTAACTGTCCTTGGACAGTTTTTGGTTGATCTAAAATATGAAAGCAATGAGGTGGCAGAGCTTTGAACTGTAATCCTTTGAAACTACCAATTGAACCCACAGGTCTGGAACATCTGTGACCCAAAGAGGCAAACTGTAAAATATGTTCCCCCCCATTCTTAGGAGTAGGGTACCCCTTCATTGTTGTGAGGTCTTTGCATGACCTTGGTGGGCCAAGCCATGTGCATAAAGTAAGAGCTGAAGGTTTTTAACTTGAAGCCTCATGAGAGTTGACAGGTGCTTTGCGTTTTGAGTAGCTAGGGGCCCCTGAAAAAGGTGTTTTTGGAACCTTCTACTGTGAAAACAAAACCTTCCCATCTGTGACTTCCTTGTTAGATTGGTCAAGTGCCCCACCGAACAGATGTCTTACTTGGAAAAGAATACACAAGAGACACCCTTTGAAGGCAGCTTCAGCTGTCCAAGATTTTATCCATAAGATTGTGTGCACGTGAACAAAGATTAGATCCATCCTGGAAATTTTTTCTCATGACATGTTCTAGGGCATTTACACAAAACATTAGAGCAGAAGGCAATTGTGATGTGTAATACCACAATTCTGAAATAAAGGGTCATGTTGCTTGGCCATTGACCTAGTCTAGTTGGCTGCAGTATGACTTACTGAAATTGCAGCAAGAGCTGGTTTCAGGGCTGAACCTGCAAGACTGAGGAAAGCTTTTAGGAGAGTCCCAAACTTTCTATCTGCAGAATCTTTGAAAGAAGGAACATCTTTAATAAGTACAGTTAGTGGTTTATTTAGGACAGAGATAGCAGGACAAACTACAGGAACAGTCCACTTCTCTGTGAACTCTCTTTAAAATGGATAATTCAGTAAAAGATTTTGGGAGGAATGAAAGCTCTTGCAGGAGTGGCCCTGTCATCATAGGCCGCACGTTCTATCTATTCATGAACAAGGAATGTTTTACAGGATTTTGTGGGTCTCTTTGCACCCAAAGGGGCATGGTGAGACTGAAGAGAGCCAGCTTACACAATGCCAAGGCTTTTGCTGACAGAGGCAATGAGTTTTTCAATGTTAGCAAGCATTTTGCCCTAAGCCCCCTCTTAACTACTGCAATAATCTGAGGGAGAAAATTATTCCGCAGCCTCCTCTGATATTTGATTAATATCCTCTTCATTTCTGCTTTGTCTGCGTCCTCTAGGACTAGCATATCATAATCTGATTCTGGTTGAGAAATGGGAAGAGGAGGAGAGGCAAAGTGTTTTTGAGTTTTGGATGAGGATGACTGTATCAAGGCCCTAATCTGTCCAAGGAAACGTGACAGATAGTGAAAAGTCTGCTTTTATCAGTTAGGATGCCGAAGTACACATGTACATGATGACATCAGCTAAGCTCTGCTCCTACACGTTCCATCATGGCCACGAGAATTCCACAGAAGTCCCATGGGCATGACAGAACACATCTGGGCAGAGATGAGGGGGCATCATGTACATACGAGCCAGGAAGTAAATGGACAGCCTGTATGTATGTCGAATGCTGATACTAATGCTGAGCACTGTATAGAAGTGCTATAGTTCTGATCTGCATGGGATCGGAGTACATAAATTAATGCGATTGTATGCATATCAGGCATTGTGTTTAATAAAAGGTTTTAAACATTAAAACACTATGAAGTTTTTGTTCTCATTTCTGCCCTGGGAATTTGAGAGGATAAAAAGAGCTCCTGTCTGGAAATGAGCCTTGAGGAACACCTAAGAGGGAATGTATGCACTCTTTGACCTACTGTACTAGAACATATAGGTCATGTTTAAAAGGTGAGAGCACACCCAGTCGGTGACCCATGTTGCCAGCACACCAGAGATCTCAAAACAGGTCCAAAGCTTTATTCAGTGATCACATTTACAGAGGCAATGTCTTTGAGCCACTTCAGGGCCCCTTCATCAGGTGTGTGTCACATGCTTGACAAAGGGGCCCTGCATGGCTCCAAAACTGTCTCTGTAAATATGATGTGATTGCTAAATAAAGCTTTTGACCTGATTGGAGATCCCAGGTGTGCTGGTGACATTTTCGTATTTGAGTGTTTACAGATTCCAGCCGGTGGTCGCTGCAGCACCCACTGATATCTAACAGCCATTTTTTTCAGGAACGTGTGCATTTGGGAACACTGTGTCAAAACACCCAATGGGGAACACAAAGGTGTTGGAAAGTGATGAAGCACCATAGTAATTGTGGAGTACAAGAGGGGGAAATGTGTATTATATGAAGACACAGAAAGAGACAATTGAAAGTGACACTTTTGCACTGATTTCATTTTAGTAGCACTGCACTGTTCTTATTTTTGATTTTGAAAGAGCAGAAGGAAGTGCCGGAGTACCGTATAAGGGTTCTAGGTGGAAGTGTCGTTAAAGAATGCAACCAGTGGTGTGATGTCATCCACCTGAAACTGGGCTTCGACTGACTAAATTCTATTTTTTTTTTTTACAGTTACAGCCAGAGATACAAGTTAACCCTGTCTTAGCTGTCCACAATGCTAGACTGTAAAAAAGTCCAGGCTTCACCTATCACAATGAGCATACCCCCAAAGTAGTCTTCAGAGGTTAGTTTCCAAAGAGATGGAGAATGGCCCTGGATCTACACAGCCCCCTGCAGCTACTTTAAGACATTGCATCAAGTGCCTTGGTAAGCACCATGCAGGATTCAGTGCCCAAAGCCTTCCTCACAGCGCAGGGTCTGTGTACGGCACCCAAGGCTGAGGTTGCGTCAATCCATATATACTACTTCTATGCTGACATTGGACAACAGTGAGGGTTTGATTGAAAAATCAGAAGATAAAGATAATACACTAGTCAAAAGGTCACAAAATATAGCAATTAAAAAAAAAACAACATTTATAATTGGTACAGAAACAATATTAGAATTTAATTCCATTACAAATTATCTTTCCTTCTCAATCTGCAGCTGCTGTAATTCTCTATAAATTTAATGCAACATGGCAACCTGGAGGTGTACTGTACACAGTTGATGTACAGAACGCCCCCTGGAATGCCATTTCTTGCTTGTGTGAAAAAACTGTCAGGTTTTAGGCATCCTCTGCAACAGAAATGTCATGTTTGGTGAGATACACCCTAAAGGTTAACCACTTCTACAGGGTTGCTGACACTACATACTTTCTCATCAGAACCCTGAAAGTGCATCAGTTGCTTGTAATGGATTAACCACTCCCATTCAGAATCAGCCCTGCAAAAGATATGATCTAACAGAGCTATTCCTTCAGATCAAAAACAGGTAGGAATCTGCAACAACATTTGTTAAAATTCTTGCAATGTACATGTCTTTTTCTCAACAAAATTGGAAATACTCTAAGTTAAGGGGGAGTTTTCTCCATGAAGGAGAAAGGGCTCTCACTTTCAGACACTGGGAAAAAAACAGAGGGCTCACGAAGTGGGGTAGGACTACAGGGGAGGTGCCCATGGAGCATCGACCTCTAAAGCTTTGCCATTGTCCAATCACCTGAAGATAAATGCCTAGAATCATTGTATGTGATGAACATTCTGCATGTGCTCTGAATTGTAAGAATAAAAAAATACATTCTAAGAGCAGAGGGTGGAAAGAGACATGGTTGGCAAAAAGGGAATACGTTTTGTAATATAATTTGAAAAAGACAGCAGACTTCAATAAAACTGCAGATGAGACTCAAAAGACTCCTTTTTACAAATACTGGTATTCAGAACAGAATTACAGGTCATTTGTGAATTCCAACTTCTGAAACACATCCTCCTGTGAAAGAAAGTCCATTAAACCAAAGTTCTCTCCATCTGAAAATGCCAATTGCCTTGCTGTGGGAGGGCCGCTTGAACACTTTTTTTTTTTTTTTTTTTTAAGTCAGCTAAAAATGTCCAAACTTTTTTCCTGCTTAACAAAAGCCTACCAATCAAAATCTAGAAACGGTGCAGTTACCTTTTATAAGAAAAGAAAGCTTTACATTGCTGAAGGTCCTGATAAATTAAACTGAATGTGATCATTCACAGCCATAAAACATTTCCTCTGTGCTGCACATTGGGAAATGGATGATTTTACAAAGAAGTTATTAACAAAAGTGAGTAAAAGACTATGAACAGCTATGAAAATGCATGCTGTCAGTGTAACAGTTGTAAAGATGCATAACTTCTGCTGAGACAATAGTTTCCCATGTTAACAATGAAAGCTAAAGCCCCGTACACACAATGAGAATATCAGGCAAGTGATCATTTGTTTTTTGCATGCTAGTCTCGTATCGAAAATGAAGAGTTTACGAAAGTTCTGAAAATTCTTGTACAACAGAATAAAAATTCGGAAGGAATGTAATGTGCTGTATTGTATTTTCGTATGAAAACTACTGATTAATGAAAATCATGTGATCTGGTATTGCACAAGAACATTTTTTCGTGCTTGTCCCTTTGAGTAATTTCAGAAAAAAAAGCTGTGTACTAACAATCAGATTATCATATGATTGATTCGAAAGCATTTTTTTTTTTCGTACAATTTTCTCACCATGTGTACTAGGCTTACGAAGATGGGCGTTCAATGCTCACCTTAGGCTCCTCATCCTTTATCCTCTGTATCGTGTCCAGGTGAGCAGCTAGTAACTTTTCCTGACGCCTCTTTTGTGCTTCTTCTAACTGTTGAGAGAAAAGTAATAAGGATTTGAGCAGTGCAATGGTATTGGATTTATATCTTCAACACTTCATCATTCTCCTCGCCCTCAATAAAACTTCTGGACCCCCTCAATCCATCCAGGGCATTGTAAAGAAAGGATGGTAGTTGCAAAGGTTAGAGTCCCTCTAGATAAAATAACTATAGCTCAGGTATAAAAAGTCCCTGATGGTCCCATCACTAGGGCAAGCTGATCAGAGAGCTGAAGCAGGCTCAATGGCACACAGGAAAAGTGCATTTAATTGCAGTACGACCAATATTTTATTAAAACCCAATGTAGGGCCACTCACATTTTCAGTGCTAAAAACAGGCTCGCCATCTAACTCCGGGATGCCAGGCTGGATGTGTGCCAGATGGAAGACACCAGGCATAGCACCAGGAGGGAGGAAGAAGCCGGCCAGTATCTCAACAAGGGAGTGCAGAAGCAGTGCTTTAAAATATTGGTCTACTGCACTTAGAGGTGCTTTTCCTCTGTTCTTATCCAGGGCAGTGCTGCCACTGCCATATTGCCACCTTACTTCAACATCCCAATCATGCCTGATCTCTCTCAGAGATCAGTCAAGTGGCCAGGAAAGGATTTCACAGAGGTGCTTCAGACCCACCCAGATTCTCTATCAGACAGCTTAAAAGGTGAAATAGCCCTTGAAGACAGCACAGAATAAAAACAAACTGAGAGGACCATCTGACTGTAGCACTGTTTCAGGGTCTCCTGCTTTATTGTACACATTGCATCCTGTAGAAAGGGTTACATCAAAATACTCTACATGTTTTCTATCTTCCACATGAGCAAGGTTACTCACACTGCGTAGAAAGTTTACTGACTCATTGATGTGACGTCTATTGATCTCTGTGAGTTCTCTGCAACAAAAATAAAGTGTTGACAACAGAATGAGTATTCAAAAAAAAAAAAAACAAAAAAAAACTTTAAATAAGATCCATCATTTTACTTTAACTCAATTTCCCAGGGGACCAAGTTCACTATTAAGCACTTGGTTCTATTGAAATCCATCCCTTTGATAAGTTTAGTGCTATTTGTTCATATTAGTTAAAGATCATTCAGTAAAGTATCTGTGGCTACTTGTACACACCAGCAGATACTTTACACCAGGGATAATGAATTCAAATTCAAGGAGGTCCAGTTGCTAAAAAAAACTTTCTTCCAGCTGAGGTCCAAATCTAAAATTTGTGCTATGACTCAGAATGATTGTAATCATTGAATGTCTAATCAAAAATATATCAGCACCCCTCATATGAGTGTCCCATTACATCAGGTGCCCCAATCAGAGTGCCCCTTTAAATCAGGGGTACCCATCAGCATGCCCCCATAGATCAGGTTTTCCTATTAGAGTATCCTTCTAGATCAGTTGTGATCCATCATAGTGCACCTATAGACTGCTCATCAAAGTGTACAGCGTACCTGTACTGATGGATATGTCCCTATAGCCAGGCAGGAAGGGGGTGGGAGCTGTAAAAAAAAGTGAGCAGCAGGGGGAGTGGGCTGGGTAGAGAAGCTTGCTGAAGGAGGCGGGGCACACACATGATATCATTGGTTGGCATGATGTCCGCAGTTCTAGCAACCAATGACTACTGAGCAATGGGGATCTGCTGGAGACTTTTTTTCTTAATTGGGGATGGACTATTTAAGTGAGGTTGTTACAATCTTGTGACTGCTCCTGTATATGTACGCTCTCCTGAAACAGCTGTAGAGAGGTTTTATTGTCCTGCCGCCACTCTCACCTGAGATTGGCAGCTAAACATGTAAGTGATACCTTTTGGACGGATGTTTTAATATATGTTTATAAAGCTATTGGTTTTGGATATCAGTTTTTAATAATATAAAGACCTTTTTCAATGTTGATGCTCCTTTGTGGTCTCAGCGGGCTAAGAGTGGTGAACAGAGGTTGATTCGTTTGGAGCACCTTTTACTTGGAGAACAGCTTCACTTTCTAACAAAGCATTTCCTGCTGTTCTATTTTTTAGACAGCAACTGAGTCTGGTGAGTGTGCACTTTTATTTATGGTGGAGGTTCAGCATAATTCAAGTCACCACATGTGGAAAATATTTGAAGATGTGATAATAGAGAAGAGAAGATCTTTCTTAAATATCTGATATTTTTTGGACTGTTTATATTCTTTTTCAGTGATTATACACTTGTCACGGGCGTTGTTGTTTATCATTAAATATTTCTTATTTGTGGTTATTTTTAGCTCTGCAAATAATTGTATTTCTGTAGGAGTTTCATGTGGTCCGCCATTTCGTGACCACTACTTTACACAGAGCTAAAGCGCTGAATGATCTTTTACTATTATGAATGAACAAGCAGCACTGATTGTTCATTCATAATAGTTACAGATCACTCATCTTAGAAGGGGGGGGTGGGCTCTCTGCTGTTTGTACCTCCTGCAAAGAATGTCCATCATTTGGTCTACAAAAGTGGGTGGAGCTATAGCCAACATACAGAGGTGTGTTTAGGGGACAATGGGGCCACCGTTAAAAAAAAGACCCACTTACATTTGGTCCACTAGGGAGTAAAGAAAAAAAAATTGTTCTTCTTTAACGCTCTTGTCTACCAAGGTATGTTTATAAATAGCATAGTAAACAAGGGGTTAAAGAAAGCTCACAGTAGCCATGAGCTTGGTACTGTCTTTGACAGCTGGTGAAGGGCTTTCAGCTAAAAATGATCCAGGCGGCTCTAGGCAATGCCCCCCCCCCCCCCCCCCCCCGCCACCATGTGGTGGTTCCTGAGCTCTCCCATTTTTCTTAGCGCAGGTGATTGGGGAACAGTTCTCTGATCCCTCCTTTAACTACAGAACCCAGAAGTAGTGTATATTGCTTCACTTCTGGATTCCCCGCGGTCATTTCACAGTCAAAGATGCAGCTAATCAAGCACAATCTGAGACTTAAGGGCTCTATAGAAGTAAAAACCTCATAAAACAGAACCTGTCACTTGCCCAATGCTATCAAAGAGGTGCAACACAAATGCTATCACAAATTGCACAACACAAGAGCTATTCTTGCAAATGTTGGAGTGACAGCAACAATTCTAGGCCATAATGCGAGGTCAACGCTAAACTGATAATCTGTAAAGGCATTTAAAGCGATGTCAATGGGGTGTCATAGTTTTTTGCGGTTTCATGGGCATTCACAATTTTAAGGCTTGACATGTTTAATATTTATTTACTCAACACAACCATATATTTGTATTATTTTTATATTTTACCCAAAAAATGAGTACAATGTTGTGTCTGGTTCCACTAAAATTCATTTTAGTGTATTTGTTCCTAAAAATATGTATTTCATAAAAACTGTGCAAATATCATGACAAACTGCAACTATTACCATTTTATTCTCCATACTCGCTGCTTTAAAAAAAAAAAATATACTTTTGGAGAGGTTTAAAATTATTTCCAGCAAAAAATTGTAGATTTTAACATGTACAAGAAAAAATGACCCCAGTAGACATGTGGTTAAACCATGCAATAGATGTAGTAAAGAAATGAAACGGAAGAGGTATTTAAGAAAGATATTAATACAATTACTGACCCATCCTTCTTGTGGCGGTCTCGTGACTTGGCCTCGGTAATGCTGTTATGTCTCTTTCTGTCCAGCATCTTTTGTAATTCTTTCTTCTCCCTGCAGAGTGATTTTCAAATCATTATTCAGCATATGACTGAAAACTGTGCAAGCACTAGACAGAAACAACTTGTGTATGTGAGAATAGTTGGTGCGCCTATGAAGTGAATGGGTGTTTAAATACGACACAATGATGAATAATGGTAGATCTTTTAAAGTAGAACTATAGGTGTCACGGATCCCCCACACGCCACGCCCACAGCGACTAGCTAACCGAGGCTTGCATGTGCGGCCGTGACTTGGGGTAAGAGGGAATAAAGGGGACTTAACTTTGAATATATAAAACCGTATATAAGATCAGCCGTGATGTACTTCCGCAGCCCGCACTACCATTTGGCCACCACCAGAGGGAGACTCCACTCGAATCCAGCTGGTCGACCACACACTGGCAGATACAAATCTTATATACAATCTGGTGCACTGATTAGAATTGAGGAACAGCTTAGTAATTACACACCCTTCCAGGATCCCTCTAGCTATCCTACAGCTTGAACCCCGGTGTTAATCACTCTTCCACTGTCCACACACCCCCACACCAGACACACCACAAAAGGTAGCCTGCCACCACCCAGCAGTTTATCCGCAGAACGGTCTGCTGAGACACCACACACACACACACATCTCTGTCTGGCAGATCTGTTACCTTTTACAATCTGCATGCAATCTGCCCACACACAGTGCAACTGTATACAAATTGGCAATGAGCTTGACCGAGCGTTTAAAGGCACTAAAATACAATACAATATAATCTCTCCAATTTATTCTCTCCGAAGATATGAGCATGTGCTTAAGTACATAAAAGTCACTAATTAATTTTAAGATTTAATTTCCCAAAAGTGGGCAGTGCATAAAATATGTACAAAATATAAAAAGTTACACAAATACAAAAATAAAAAAGAAGACACACAAATGGCTATTCACTATAAAATAAAAAGGGAATAAAAGACAGAAGTAAAACTACCAGGATTTACCCTATGACTGGAGCAAGTCAGTAAAGTCAGCAATCCGTTGCTCGATCGATCAGCTCCATGCGAACGGCAATGTCCCAATTTCCGGGTACTCCATTTATGGGGATATGGACGTAGGCGGGACATTAGTCTTCGGCCAATTGACCCTGGGGGGGTGTTCCTGTACCTGCCCACGGGATGTTCTGGGTGCTGACCTGCCCAAGCTCAATTGGGCCAAGACTGGCTTGAAACACCAAGTCGGGGATTGGATTTCCGACACCAGCGCATCAGTCCGATCGCGACAGTACCAATCACTGTTCAACTGTCGCACTCCAGCGCCACCTAACCGTTTCCTGCATTTTCCTGGCATTCTACCTAAGCCACAAATATGGTTTTCATATGTAGGTGTGGTGCACAGCTTGCACTATTGGAAGGAAGCATTTCCATCTCTCTGCAACTAATATTTTAGCTTGCATGAGAGATGAAACATACCCCTTTGATTTATGCAGACACTTCGCTCCCCAGACAGATCGGAGACCCCCTGCTGTCATGAAGCAGAAATGTCTGGAGCCTTTTCCTTTAAACCTGTTTTCCCAGAAGGTGACAAATCCTTATTATCACTTAGGTGTCACATCCAGAGGAAGCTAGGCTTTTCAGATGCTAATTGATGACCCCTGTCTGAATACCTATGACTGAATACACCTTTAATAACAATGGAATGCAACTATGGTTATGATTACATATTCCTACTAATCGCATCTTATCTACTCAAATCTGTACATTTATGTCACATGTACTTTACAATAGGCAAGCCTTTTTTTCCCCATTTTAGATTGACAGGGGTTTAACCCTCTCTTACTCTGTTTGTTTTTTGCCATCTGTGTCCCATTGGGGAGATTTACCTTCATTTTCTGTTGTATAGCAAAAACAGGAAGTGAGGGATACCCTATGCAAATTAAAGGAATTCCTTGAGGACCCCCAGGTCACCAGAACTTGAGAATATCCCCTCTATTTCTGGGGACAACCCAACATTTGGGATTTTCTTTTACTTTCACTTTTGATGATAATGAAAAACAGGACAAATTGAGAAGGTGAATCTCCCCAACGCAGGCTGCAATAAAAACCTAATAGGTGTTCTAATGAATCTCTACTCTGTCCAAAACTAAAAGAAACATTTTGCCTTTAATCATACCTCCAAACTGTCCCTGATTTCGAAGAACTCTCCCTGATTTGGAACAAAGTCCCTCAGTCCCGCTTTCCTCCACATTTGTCCCTCAATTTGGTCTGATCTTTATAGTTGTATATAAAATGCACTATTTATCTTTGAAAAAGTGTTTCACAGTGCTAAACCTTTCATCCAAATTTTAAATTGTTGCATTTGTAAAACTTCAAAAGCCAATATATAGCAACAGTAGTAGTAAAAAAAAAAAAAAAAAAAAAAAAAACTTTTTTTTTTTTAATAAATCTCCTTTAACTGCTTCCCAACCGCCCTATAGCAGAGATACTGGTACAGGGCAGCACGGGTGCGCAAAAGCACATATATATACGTGATTTTGCAATTCCTGGTAGGGGATGCGCATGACACGTATTGGGATTTTTTTTTTTTTTTTTAGCAAAGACATGTAGAATACATTTTGGCCTAAATTTATGACTAAATTAGATTTTTTTTGCTGGACATGTTTAATGGGAAAAAGTCAAAAATATTTTTTTTTCTCAAAATTTCCGGTCTTTTTTTTTTTTTTATAGCGCAAAAAAAAAAAAACCAAAAAAAAAAAACCGCACAGCTGATCAAATACCACAGAAAGAAAGCTCAATTCGTGGGAAAAAAAGGACGTAAATTTCATTTGGGTGCAGCGTTGCATGAACGCGCAGTTGTCAAAGTAATGCAGCACCGTAACACAAAAATGGCCTGGTCAGGGAGGGGGGTAAATCCTCAGGAGGGCAAGTGGTTAAGGAGCGTGGCAGGGGGTGTGTCCTATGCCTACATACATTTGCTAATAGGTGTTAATGATGTTACCTGCTCAAAAAGTTGGGAGGTATGCTTTATTAGATCCTCATTTTTGATCCTGATGACACTATAAAGGTGAACAACATAGACCAGCTCATTTCATAATATAACCTTCACCCTTCACAGTCTCGAACATTTATCAATCTGTGGTATATCACACCAGAGAGTCCCATATTAACTGGGGTTTTATGTACATTTGCAAGAAAACCATAACCCTGTAGAAACAAATTTGGTTTCTATAGGAAGGTCCTCTAGATTTCATCTAAGCCTTAATAAAATTAAAAGACCTTGCCAAAAATGTTTTGTTAAAATGCACAGCAACATAGCTTCGGTTCTGGCGCCATGTGAGGATGGAGTGATCTGTCACATCTCCAGCTGCACACATCACATCTGCAATTGAATTCTGCACCACAGCTCTGGTTCTACAGCCGACCTGCCTCCCCTCCTCTTGCTCCCGGAAACCAGATGGATCGCCTTTTGGAGCGAACCACTCTCTGCTCTACACAGGGCACTCGGCAGAAAGCCGACACAGATAGCCACGATCCCCAAGATGGGTGCCACTGCCATCCCATCTGAGAAAGCCGCCAATGCTTCTCTGCACTCTCTGAACAGGCTGCGGAGGATACAGGTGCTGCACATGCTCGGATCGCTCAAGCAGTTGCACATATACCTACCCCTTTGGTAACGGAGGCAGTGGGACACGGCAGTCCAACAGGGCAAGGATCAGCTGCGCCAAGATATCCACAACCAGACACACAGGCAGAATGCCAGATCTCCTTAGTGGAAGAACAACTCCACCAGGTACAATCTTCAGTATCTACTCACAAGGGGGTGCCTCAGCCTCTGCTGGATAATATAGAAGACCTTAAAACAGGTCTCGCAGGAATAACCTGCGCATTATAGAGCTGATGGAGTCTTACAAATCTTCCTCATTAATGGAGCTATGCAGCCATTGCATCCATGAGACCCTGGGTCTCCATCACCCCTGTGTGGTTGAGCGTGCACACCCTGTGGGCCCCCCGCAAGACCAACAACGCAAGCCTAGACCAGTTATTGTACATTACTTAAATTATGCAGATAAACATGCATTACTGCAAGGCTTGGGGCCTATCCTTAGACAAGCATAACCTATTACACTTTGCTGATTACTCGGTGGAAGTCTCCAAACAACACAAACATTTTGCTCCCACCTGCTCTCTGCTTTATCAACACAACTTTAAAATTTTCCTTGGCATATCCTGCGATCCTGCGCCTACAGTCTCCTCAGAGAGAGCAGCTGTCCTTCACTTCTTCCTATGGATGCTCAACATTACGTGGAGTCCATTGCTAGCCGGAGACCTGGCTTCAGCTCATATCAGAGGATTCCCCAGCCATCCCTTCCACCACATTCTGAACTGTGCCCAAAGCAGCCCCAAGAAACACCCTTCTAAGCGTGGGCGCTACGCTGCTGGCCCCAGGTGGTCGGGTAATACCGGACCATCTCAGAACCTTACTTCTCAGCCCTTTACGGGTATACCTGTTTCTTTCATGGCGCTGGTAAGCCTAACTAACGGACACCCTCCTATCTCCACAGGCTTCTTCGCTGGAGAGTCTTGATATACATGTGTATTCTTCTTCTCAGGAAATGCTAGCTTCCCTGCCAAGATGCAGAAGGGGTTTTTTTTTTTTCCTCTCGCGCCACACATCTGGCAGCGTACAACTGTTACGCAACTGTGTTACCCTCATCTGCAGGCGGATTGGAAGCTAGACCGACATTGTTATGTAGGTTTATTTCCCACACAGAAAAAAAGTGAAGTTCATAGTTGTATTCGGTTATTGTTTCCTCAGTTATTTTTTCTAAATTGAGTCTACCTTGCCCTTTTGTTCTATTTTGACTTGTTTGGCTAACAACTCAGGGTCCCCCACACTAAGGATATTAGGGTGTTAAATACTCATATTATATACTCACTCCACCTCTTAGGTGAAGGGGAGATACTGTTCTCAGAGAGGAGGAGTGTGTGTGTGCGCCCCTTGACCCTATTGCATCCCTTTGCCCGGGGACACCTCCTCTGATGGACCCACATCCACCTGATTTACAATATGAGGGTGGTATCATGGAACGTCAAGGAGCTCCATTCACCAAGCAAAAGGATGAAAATCCTACATCATTTGAAACATTTAAAGGCTGATATAGCCCTTCTCCAGGAGACCGATTTGGCTGAAATTAATCTCCATCGTCTCAAGAAACTTTGGGTGGGTGAGCCTGTTTGTTCCTCAGCACTAGGGCGCATAGCAGGAGTGGCCATCCTTTTCCATAAACAACTGTCTTACACTATCCGCTCAACTGATAGGGATCAGGAAGGCCGCAAATTGACAGTCAATTTAACCATTGCATCCGAGGACCTAGCACGCAATTCTCCAGGTACAGCCTTTTTTCAGGACCTTTGCTCATGGGTGGTACACTCCCCTGAGCCCTTACACTTACGGGGAGGGGACTTTAACAGTCTAATGGTTGCTGCTGAAGATAAATCCTCCCCACACACACTACATACTCCAGCCCTATCCTACCAAACGCCTGCTACCCTGCTGGCCAACACTATCTCCTCCCTACACATGGCCGACGTCTGGCATCTAGCCCACCCTATACATAGGGAATTCAGTTTCTATTCACCGCCACATGACACCCTATCTTTTTGATTACCTCTTTTGTTCATCCTCCCTGCTCCCAGTGAAACTGATGAGATTTTAGATATAGCCATCTCAGACTGTATTCCCATTGTGGTTACTATGGATGACTTCAATCCTCATGACATGCCCTCCCCGTGGCAGTTTCCATCTTATTTGGCAGATAATGAAGACTTTCATTGGGTAATTTTCTATTCCTGGAACGATTTTGTTCTCACCAATTCAGAACATGTTTCTGACCCCAATCTGTTCTGGGAGACAGGCAAGGCTGTATTACGAGGCAAGATCATCTCATATACCACTCAATATAAAAAAAAACTCACTAGAACAATACTGTCAGGCAACTGATGCTTTCCGAAAAGCACAAGCAGACTTACATCTGAATCACTCTCTGCAGACTAGACAGGCATGGCTTGCTGCTAAACGCTTTGACTTATGGGCAGATCAAAGGGAATGGATTAAAACATCCTACCACTCCCTATAATTCTAAAAATTTGGCAATAAGGCCGGAAAGCTGGTAGCCAATCTTTGTCGAGGGCCTCACACACCCACATATATTACAGCTCTCAAGGACACCAATGGGAACATCACAACCTTTCCACCAGAAATAACCTCCTTGCTGACTGAATTTTGCCAGCAGCTATAATAGAAAAACAGAATGTTTGGCCGCACAAACAGCAATGTGGTGGATTAAATCCTTTATTGGAATCCTTTACATGCAATACGATAAGAACATGACAGCTCCAAGACAGGACAGAGGAGTAGTAGATGCATTTCACACGAACACAATGCTTAGTCACTACTGACTGACAGTTTTTCTCTGGTGCTCCAAACGGGCTCCAATTGCCAATCACAAACTGCATCTTCTGAAAGACGAAGGGGGGGATGGGGTTACCTAATCTCCGCCTATACAATTTAGCTTGTCTTCTTAGGCAGGGCCTAGACTGGCAGTTGCATCTGTCAACATATTTCAACCACGCCCTAGAGGGGGGCTTGGTATCCCCCCCCTTCAGTCTATCTGTAGTGCAACACTCCCCACTTAAAGCTTTGCCCATCCATTTGAAGCATAATTCTCTGATATGAGACACTGATAGCATGGGGGGAGATTTGAAAACTTATAGGAGCCCCTTCCACCATCTCTATTTGCCTATACAGGGCAACCCTATGTTTCCCCCGAGGAATGGCCCATGAAGCCTTCGTCTCCTGGACAACTAAGGGCCTAACCCGTGCTACCTCTTTACTTCGCTCAGGCTCCTGCAATATTCAATCTTTTCAGAAGGTATCTCAACACTTCCACCTGCCTCCTCTCCAAGTTTTATTATTATTATTATTATTATTATACAGGATTACTGTATAATCACAGGTTTTCCATTACTACCAACTGGTGGGCTTCATAAAAACACAGCTAGGACGGGGGAGGATAATATTGGAGTATCAGGTGGTGGATAGGGTAATAAAACAAAATTACTCTATTTCCACTTTATATACTCTCAGTTATTACACCAAACCACCACCTCGGTGACCCCATCCCTACTAAAAAGCTGGTTTAAAGATATCCCAGAGCTGGAAGATACCACAAAACTCTTAGAAGGATATAAGACTATCTGCAAAATCACTGTCAACAAGCAATGGAGGGAGACACAATTCAAAATTATTCACAGGGCATTCATACCCGCCCTGACACCACAAATCCTACACTAGCCCTCTATCCCTGGTGTGGTGCCTTCCAGGCCGATGCTGTTGCACAATCTTTTGGACGTGTACTCCTATACAGGACTTCTGGAACCAGATTCTTCAATACATATAAGGGATTTCCAAGACAAGACTGCCCAAAGACTCATTACCTTGCCTATTTAGCTGTGCATAGTCTACAAACACCACACTTATGACCACCAGGAAAACAGTCACTATCCCTATGGATACATCTCTGTCTTCTAATGGCCCAGAGAGTTCTGCTCCTGCTTGGACACAGCCCTACACTCTCTTCAGTTAAGGACTTGAGATCACTCCTGTATCTGGAAAAGCTGGATGCCACGGTACAGAACTTTGGACCTACCAAACATTTCTTTACTCGCTGGAGAACCTTTATTGAACAAAATTTCTCTACTACTGAAATTCATCAACTTGTGACCACCTTTCAGTATACTACATGGTATGCCAAAGAGAATCTTGCTAACACCTTGAGCAAGCTTAAAATACCTGACTCGTCAACCACCCTGGGCAACAAACCTCCTCACCCTAGTGGGGTCTTACCGATACCCATCTTCTAAAAGGAGTATTACTCCACCCTTATCTCACCTTTATGACCACCTTTGCGTTACATGTATCTGTTGATGTTATGACTCTGTGCTGATATTCTTTTACAATATGTGTTTAGCATATTTGGAACACTTTACTTTGTCTAAGCTTGCACCCAGATAGGAGATTAAGCTCTCTCCCATACGAGAGAAAAAAAAAAAAAAAAAAGAAGATGGAAATACTATCACCAGTCTAACCATACTAAAGTTGCCTTTTTCCAAAATTGCATAAATTCTTTATTTCAGTGTATTGTTCTGAGCTTATGGCAGGTTACCAGGGACATGGGAGCAATAGCAGCTAATGAAAATAAAACCGACTGCTGGACTAAAAAGAACTGGTTAAGGATACTGTTCCATTCTTACATGGGAATTACATTTTTTTTAGATCAACAAGGGTCTGCGATCTATACATAACAGCAGACAAAAAGAATGCAGTGTACCTTCCATTGGATACTAGAAAATGACCCTAGCCTTTAAACTGGGAAGAGCACACTGGCTACTATGCTTATTACTGGTTACATGATATACTGTACATTCTACCAGGAAACAGAAAAATACTTCCTACTGGACACCACAGGAAGCCCAGTACTAATTTGCATTCCTATGGTGGCAGCATTTACAGAATCATCATCCAATTACCTCCCTTTCCATCTTATAATTTTTCAGTTCCCCCCTTGTTGCATTGGGTTCCTATTTCCAGTTTAATAACAATAAACATATATATACTTTTTTCACATCACTCACTTTTCATTAGTTTCTTTTAATTTCTTCAGCTGGGCAGTATGGCACGACTGAGCTACGTCCAGCAGCTTCTGAACAGCCTGAAAGTTAACCAATAACATTGTAGTTTGATACCCGATGGTAAGCTGCTGTTATAATACATAATGTGCTTAGGAAAGAGCAATGTGCATCCCCCCAGCTCAGAAGCTTGCAATACCTGCTGCAAGTGGATGTGTTTGATTTTGCGTTCTTGCTCATGCTGAAGTTCCCTCATCTCTAGGAGGCGCCTCTGCTGCTCCCCCTGCAGGTCCATCAGCTTCTTCTGCTGCTCCTCCTGCTCTGAGTGAAAACTGCACCGAAGACACACAATATTAATATAAATTACATATTGACTAGAAATGTCAGATGTGGCATACGGTGGAGACATGCTAGTCATTCACACACATGTCTCTAGTCATTCACCTACTCATTAGCCCAAATAGCCAAACTGCTGATCATGTGACTGCATTTCATGGATATAAAGCATTACAGACAAGAGTATTAGTTTAAACAACACATTAGGAATACAAAGTTGTGTGTTCTAAGTGACTTTGACCAAGGAATGTGTTCTGGTGCCAGAGCCTGCTCACACAGAATATGAAGAATTCACAGAAAATGGTGTAAAATAACATACACTGAGTGTCAGCGCTGTGGATGAAACTAGATTCTTATTAATTTAAGAGAAATCAGAGGAGAATGGGCAGACTTTTAGGCTGACAGACAGTCCACAACTGATGAAATAACCATTATTTACAACTGTTTTGGGCAGCAGTGCTTCCCTGAACAAGCTATATGCTGATCTTGTTGAGGAAAGCCTATGGCAGAAGGCAGGGCTAGATATCTCTTCTATTAGCAAAGAGCCTATAAAGGGCTTGGGATTACAAAAACTGGATTTCTGAGAACATGAAAAAAATACAGGGTCAGAATTCAGCATAGGAAGCAATTCAACTTATAAAAGATGTGGAATGGGAAGTATGTGGTATAAAAACATATAGCAAACAGGACCATATTTTGCGGTCCTGCAGTAAACTCCAGGACCATAAAATAGCTTTCAGCAGCTTCATTCCAGAAAGAGAGCAAAAAGGAAGGTGTACAAATAAATGGCCATGATCAGCAAATATTGTAAAACCAATTAGTTGCCAACACTATCAAATATAACTCACATATACACAGCCACTCCATCAGTTTAGTAGAATTAAAGGAAAGATAAGCCAGTAACTTGCTGTACATCTTTAGAAAGGTGATTTTTTTTAAATGTAATAATAATAATGTTTAAAAAAACAAAACAAAAAAAAATAATAAAATGTGACAACTGCTTCTATTACCTGCTGTTATTAGTCTAAAATTTAATAAGACCTAAAATTAGTTCATTTACAGACTAGTAAAGTTTACAGTACCTGGGGTTGATAGAATGAGGAATGCATTCTGAACATTAATAATGCATAGGCAATATTTTTCACGTGCTGTTAATCCCTACAATGTCTCCTATCCAGAATCACACTATAGCAGATGGCAACACAGTACAATTTACCTTCCAATGTGTGCAGTAAAGTTTACTGAAATTTAGTGAATCAGAGCTATAATGACCTCCACTGATCTAAGACTCCAAACTGATATTATTTCAGCTTGACAGTGTCAGTGATCCAGTACAAGTTCTGCTGGCAATACTCACTCTTGTCCACCTTTTGAACTTTTCCCAAATCTCTTCTTTCGTATGCTCTGCAGCTGTATGACTCTGCTGTTCTGCTCCTTGCACAGGGAGGATACTTTGCGCAGGTGCTTGCGGTGCATGTGACGCAATTCTCGGTACTGCCGACAAAGCAAACTTCACAAAACTTTTCTGTAACTTTAGCTCCTCCAAGGATGGTGCTTGTACATCTAATATTGTTAAAAAGAATGTAAATCCATAAATCTTTTTGGGTTCCTTTATACTGGTAATGGTAAGCAAGCTGTCCACTAGGCTTGTTTCTGAAGCCACCAATTGAAAAAAAACATTTTGGTTTAAATTTATTTTTTCTTTATTCATACAATCAGGTGAGGATTAGACTTGACTGAAAGCTTGCGCTGAGCTTTAGGTATCAATATGAAACTGCTATTGGTAGTACCCATAAGTTACCATGAAATCTGATAACCAATGATGATTATTTTCCAGGACAAGATAAAAAAAACTCTTAAAAAGGTGTCAACAGACCCAGCTCCCTACAACACCACACTGTAGCATGACAGTTTATGACAAACTATTTGCTGTAATTCGTAGAGGTGGGGGGGAATCACCACCACGTAGGCAGAGGGAGAACAGTAATGAGAGCAGGTTTCCTTGCCTGTGTTCTGTAATGTTTTGGTGGTCATTGTGTGGCGAGATTGTTACTCAATCCAGCCAAATTGGGTGATTCCTATTAAATGTCAATGGGTACCTTTACTTATGAAAGAAGGAAGTGCAGAAGACTGTATAAATTCTCAGCACTTATGTAAAATCTGCCCAACTGAGTTTGTCTGCTTGAAAGGAAATGTACATCCATAGAAACGTCAAGAATTCCTATGGTATAGATTCTGGATTAGTCCTATGCATACGGTTTGTTAACATGTTACCGCCCCTCTAGAATCTGATGTTTTTGTGTAGGTATTCGTGTTTGTGTCATGCATGTTCTTGGTGTGCTTGCAGGTATTCCAGTTTCTTTACAAACTCAAAAGGCACCAGGTTAATTGGCTCCGGCTTAAACTTGCCATTGTATACGTATGCATGGAGATATGGACCTTAGATTCTAAGTGCACACACACACAATTTGTATTTAAGTACTGACAGTACTTCAATTCTACTGTATAGTGCAACCAGCAGGAGAGGTATTCTAAAGGGGTATATCCCCAGTGTGTTCAAAGTGTTGGTTCTGTAGGGCAAAAAGAACCAAACTGAGAGTCCAGTGAAACACAGGGTGCTAAAAGTGGGGCCTGAAGTGGGATACAACTTGAATAAAGGTTTTTACAAGTGAGAATGAAGCCAGAGGCTTTTCATCAAGAATAGACAAAGCTGAAACCTGTCTTTTAGGAGTGATTTAGGCCAAGATCTGTTCAAGACCTGATTGTAGGAAGGCCAGAATGTGAGGCACAGAATAATTCCTGGCACTGAAGTGTCTATGTTCACACCAGGCAAAGAAGGATTTCCAGGTAGGAATAACAGATTCAGAGAACACTTGGTCTCTGTCTTAAGACCTGGGTGTCAACAGCCGTACCGTTAAAGCCAGAAACTAAGAAGCAGGAAGGAACAGAGGAACTGAGATAGCAGGTCTGGCCTCTTGAGAAGAGACCAGGGGTCATCATTCAGAAGTCAGAGTATGTCTGTGTACCAGGTTCTTCTGGGCCAATTTGGTGCAATGAGAATCATTTTCTTCTCTCACATATTGGATGTCTACTGATGCCAGGAATTCCTCTCCTGTCAGAAGAACAATAACCAACCTTGCAGATTCTATGTGAAATTTGGAGGTATTTGTTAAAGGATTTTAAGTCCAGAATAGGACAAATACCCCCACTGGCTTTATGTTCTGTGAACAGGCTTGAATAGAAGTCTTTCAAACTGGGACAAGAGATGGTTCAGGGCATTCTGCAAATCTGACTGTCCTAGGGCAGTTTTTGGTTAATTTCAGAAAATAATGTGTTGACGTTTTGAACTCTATTTTGCTATTGTGAACTGGTCAAGTGCCTCCCCAAAATGAAGTCTGCCTTGAAAGAGCATACTTGTGAGCCACTTCACAAGCAGCTTCAGCTGTCCACACTTTGAGCCTCATGACTATGCACATGTAAATTGGGATTAAAGCAATTCTTGAAATTTGGCTCATTACATGTTCTAAGGCAACCACTTAAAAGAACAGAGCAGAAGGTAATTGTTGTAAGTGCCTTCTAAGCATAGTTAATGGAAAACAGGATCATGTTGAATGTTCATTGTACTAGTTACATTTTCTGCTTTTTGACATACTGAAATTGCAGAGAGAACAGGTTGCAGGGCTGGGCCTGCAAGAGTAAAGATGGCTATTAGGACCTTTTCAACCATTCTATATGCAGAATAAAAACATCTTTAATTGGTGCAGTGAGCTGCTAAAGACTAGGACAGTAGGGTCGAATACAGAAAGAGCACTTTTTAATGGACACTTTTTCCACTGGATAGAGTTCGACAAAGATTTCTGCAATGAAAATCTCTACTGGAGTGATCTAATCATTGACTGCCCATTCTAGTTGTTCATGTAGGGGGAATGTGTTTATAGATTTTGCAGATCTCTTTGTACCCAAAATGGAGAATGAAGTTCTATAATGCAAAAGCTTTAAGGCACAGCAGAAGTAATGAGAGTGTGGGGATGAAACATTTTCTGTAGCTTGCTCTAATACTGCCTCTATCTTCATTATTCCCTTCTGCGGCAGCTCACTCATAGCAGGAACATCAAGATTTTACTCACATAAAGACAGAGGAGCAGAAGAAGGGGCATGGTGTTTTGTAGCCTGGACTAAGATGGCTGTATTAAGGCTGTTCATGGTCCTAAGAATCATAACAGATGCAGAAAATTCTGCATTTATCAGGTAAGCCGCATGTTGCATGCCTGAAATAGAGCTAATATTGGATGCAGACTGGTGTTAAAATAGGTTCCTGCTCCAGTGCAATGGAGGCAATATCACTCTGAGGAGAGAGTTCTGCACACCTGCGACAGCACAAATGTTTGCCTGTGCCATAGCTTTCTTTTGCCTGGTCAACTCTGTAGGTATGGGTGAGGGTTTTCCCCTGTTAGGATGCCTAATATGAAGTGTGTCCAGGAGTAAGCAGCAACCTGGGTGTATACCATCCCATAGCAAAGTCAACATGGTGAAAGGGCGGGAGAAAGCGCTTGAGTACCTTATAAGGGCTCTATGAGAAACAGGCAGTAAAGTGTGCAACCTACGGTTGCTTTTTAGATCAGAGTTTGAAAAGTTTATACTCTAAAGTTAAAATGGTTGTAAAGGCTAAATGTTTTTTTTTACCTTAATGCATTCTATGCATTAAGGTAAAAAACCTTTAAGTGCAGCTACCCCTCTGCCCCACAATAACTTACTAAAGCCCGGTCTCAAGCCAGCGCTGTACCCAAAAGCAGAGGCACTGCTCCATCTCATCTTCCTCATTGGACTCTGGGAGCAGCAGGAGCCATTGCCTCCTGATGCTGTCAATCAAATTAGAATCAAGCCCACGAGTGTCCCCATAGCAAGTGGCACTCGGAAAGCAGGAGGAGCAAGGAGCGCTGGCAGGGGACCCCAAAAAAGGAGGATTGGGGTTGCTCTGTGCAAAACTATTGTGGGAGTAATGTCAGCTCCCGATACAGCATCAGTAGGCGTGGCATGTGCATGCTCTTTCATCAGGCCATAATGATGGAGCCTGATGAAGGAGCATGCAAGCTCAAACACATGCCATGCTTCCTGCTGCTGTACCTGGAGCTGACATCACTCCCGCCCGCCATGTGATCCACACCGACCAGGAAGTGCTGGGAGCCACCAGCACAGTCAAAGAGTGTATTGGAGACTTGCCTGCTGGACCGGACAGGAGTTGCACAGGGTTGACAAGTGCTCATTTGACTACTACTATTGTGAGAGTTGCTAATTTTATGGAAATTATTTGTTTTTATTGCTGTACTTAGATGGCGCGGCTTCTCTCCTTTTTACAGTTCCCACAGCGTCTCTTCTAGCACTTTTTGAATCGGCTGCCACTGAGACAAGCATTGTTGGATTATCCCTCAACCACCTTTGGACTTTAAGGACTTTACTTGTGTGGTTAATATACTAGCCACCACATAATACACCTGGTCTTTTTCCTCTTAGTGCTCCAAATATCTTGCTATTCCTTGGATTCCAGATTTTAAGATGGCTGTCACGGTCTTTGTATCACATAATTCCAGTTTCGGGGTTTCCTTTGGATGTTAATTGTTGGCTCTATTTAAGAAGCGTGGCTTCCGACGGTCTCCGTGCCCTTGAGAATGGCATTTATGAAGACAAGCATACGGCGGAGCCGGAGGCAATAACATCAATGTGCATGCTTGTGCCGTGAATTCTGGGATTTGTAGTTTCACGAGACGATTGTATACACAGCATTTACAGTTAGGACCATATTAGGACCATATATATATATATATATATATATATATATATATATATATATATATATATATATATATATATATATATATATATATAGACAGAGGCAAAATTTTTGTTTTTTCAAGTATTTACCAAAATATATTCAAGCTATAATTAAATAATGGATATTGGCTGAAAGTGCACATCATCAGGTTTAATTTTTGGGTATGTACATCCAAATTGGAGGAATGGTTTAGGAATTACAGCTCTTAAGAGTAGCCATCCTCCCTTTTTCAAGGGACCAAAAGTAATTGGACAATTGAATCAAAAGCAGTTTCATGGCCAGGTGTGGGCTACTCCTTTGTTAGTTCTTCATCAATTAAGTAGTTAAAAGGTCTGAAGTTGATTCTAAGTGTGGTATTTGCATTTGGAATCTATTGCTGTGAACCTACATCATGCGTTCAAAGGAGCTGTCCATGCTAGTGAAACAGGCCATTGTAAGGCTTCAAAAACAAAACAAATCCATCAAAAAGATAGCAACAATATTAGAAGTGGCCAAATCAACAGTTTGGTACATTCTGAGGAAAGAAGAATGCACTGGTGAGCTCAGCAACAAAAAAGGCATGGATGTCCACGGAAGACAACAGTGGTGGATGATTGCAGGATCCTCTCTATGGTAAAGAAAAACCCATTCATGATATCCAGACAAGTGAAGGACACTCTTCAGGAGGTGGGCGTATCATTGTCAAAGTCTACTATCAAGAGAAGACTTCACGAGAGCAAATACAGAGGGTTCACCACAAGGTGCCAACCATTCATAAGCCTGAAGTATAGAAAAGCCAGATTAGACTTTGCCAAAAAAACATCTAAAAAAGCCAGACCAGTTCTGGAAAAGCATTCTTTGGACGGATGAAACTAAGATTAATCTGTACCAGAATGATGGAAGAAAAAAGTGTGGAGAAGGCTTGGAACAGCTCATGATCCAAAGCATATAACGTCATCTGTAAAACACGGTGGAGGCAGTGTGATGACTTGCTTGGCTTCCAATGGCACTGGGTCATTGATGTTTATTGATGATGTGACAGAAGACAGAAGTGGCCGGATGAATTCTGCAGTGTTTAGAGATATACAGTCAGTCCAGATTCAGCCAAATGCAGCAAAGTTGATTGGATGGCGCTTCACAGTACACATGGACAATGATCCAAAACACTGCAAAAGCAATCCAGGAGCTTTTGAAGGAAAAGAAGTGGAATGTTCCGCAATGGCCGAGTCAATCACCTGGTCTCAATCAAATTGAGCATGCATTTCACTTGCTGAAGGCAATACTAAAGGCAGAAAGGCCCACAAAGAGCAACTGAAGACAGGTGCAGTTAGAGCCCGGCAAAGCATCAGAAAAGAGGAAACCCAGTCTTTGGTAATGTCCATAGGTTCCAGACTTCAGGTAGTCATTGCCAGAAAAGGATTCTCAACAAAATATTAAAAATGAACATTTTATTTATGATTATATTTGTACAATTACATTTGAGCCCCTGAAAATGGAGGGACTATGTATAAAAATGGTTACAGTTCCTAATATTTGTACTTAATACTTATGTTCAACCACTTTAATTAAAGCTGAAAGTCTGTACTTCAAATTAAAACGAAACAATCCAAATGAATTTGTTCTGGTGGCATACAGAGCCAAAAGTATGATAATTGTGCCTGTGTCCAATTATATATATGGACCTAACTGTATGTATTTTGAATCACATTTTATGTACATTTATACCAGATTTACATTGTTTGAGTGCTTTTTTTCTTGTATGCCATACATCAGTCTTGTATATAGAAATGGGAGATGAGCTCATAGGATGGTGTCAAGCCTGGTGGTGATCGTTTCTGGATTGATATACAAACTCTGTCTAACTTTTCTAATGAGGGACACAGTCTCTCTGGGAAGCCTTAGCGTCGTTAGTGAAGCACTTGTGGTGGTCTGGATATAGTCCATATTGGATTTATGAAGAGGATTGCTTTCCTACTTGTCACCTTTATACACTTGGTGGAAGTCACTTATAATGAAATTTGGACTTTAATTTCATTTTGCATATTTATTTACGTATTTTCTGTCATTCATTCACTTTTAGTGCTGCAAAAGCTGATGCATCACCTTACAAACATAGCCCTATATCAGAGTTACAGGGTGACCCTGTCTTACCTGTCCACGACTGTGCATAGAGTGAAGGGTTCGTTTGTCACGGTGGGCATTTCTGCAGGTTTTCAGGGTCTGGGTTTTATAGGGATGAACCACAGCCCCGTACCTGTATATCACCCTGTGGCTCACTACACACACTGCACTAAGTGCCAAAGTGAGTGCCCGTGCAGGATTCAGTGCCTGAAGGAACATTATAGAAGCAACATTATAGGCCATTCCAACTGTGCGGGGTTTGGGTGTAGCTCACAAGGGTTTACGGAGGTTGCACCAATCCCGATGCACTACTTCTGTTGTAGTGTAAGACAGTGAGGGAGACAGCAAAGAGTTCAGTGAAGAATATAAAAAAAAAAAAAAAAAAAAAAAAAAAAAAAGATAACAGTAAACTAGCGAAGCGAAGACTGATTTCTCTGCAAGGTAGAGATCTATCCCCTTAGGACACTGGCAAAAATTGAGGACTCACAGAGTGGTGTAAGGTTATTATGGTAGCGCCCAGGGGGGAGTGTCATTGAAAGCTTTGCCAGTGTTCAATCACCTGAAGGTTGGAACCTATAGCCCAGGGTCTCTGAATTCTTTGCCTGTGTCCTGTATTGTACGATTAAGATATGCAAGTGCTATTTGAAAGCATAAAATAAATTAAGCTGTTAAACAAGCATCAATGAGCAGCACCATCTCTAACAAAGAATTAATCTTAGCAGGGATGATATCATATAAAGGTCGAGACTTTAAACAGTATATGAACTCCCATGGATGTAAATAAGGGGGCATTATGTAAATGAGGGCTGCAAAATCACTTAAGGCACACGCATGGCCAGTCCAATCAGGTGTGCTTGTCTGTTTTTCAGGCGAACCTGATCAGAGTGTCTATGCAACCCTATGGGTGTAAATGGACTTGTTGTCTGTTTATACCCGCCTACCTCCAGGTCCGTTCCAGTCACAGATCTCCTGATGATCAGAGAAGGAGCCGCTCTGCATGAAAAGGGCCTAACAGACCTCTTATGAATAACTGGAAAAAATGTAACCATTTTATAGACTATTCATTTTGGAATGTTAAACTGCTGCTCTGGATAAGACTTATTATCATGTAAGCGCATGATTTCTTTGGAGTCAAAATTTTAAGTTATTGTGGAACTGAAACTTGATATTTCAAACTGTACTCTGCCTTCCCTATAGAAATTAATGAGCGGAGGGCTGAAAATGTTCTCCCTTAGAGGTTAATGAGCTGTGTACTGTAAATCAGTGAACAGTAGCTCTTTCCTCCTTATTTCAACTCTGCTATGCTGATAAATGGCTGGAAAGACACAGCTTGTATTTCAGTCAAAATAAAAAATTGGGATGTGCCATTGCTATAAAATTGTTATTTTATTCCTTGGAAGACATGGCAGGTGTACACAAATCCCACAACAATATAAAAATAATCATGTACGTAATTACCTGTTAATACACTTGCTATGAGGTCATCCCGGTGAGCTATAGAAAACAAAAGGATAAGAAAAATGCATGAATAAACATTCACCATAGAAAACAGAGGGTCAGAAAATACATGAAGGACATTATATAGCCAAAACTAAGAGCAAGGTAGAAGACAGGAGGTCAGAAAAATGCAACAAAAAAAAAACAATTTGCCAAAAACACAATATACACTACTGTATATAGCCAAAACTCTGTGGACAGCATACAAGACTGAGGGTCTGAAAAATGTAGGAATACACTATATGGCCAAACTGTATATATTTTATAGCCAAAGCAGCATAGAAGGCAGAGGATCAAAAACCTGCATGAAACACACCATGAGGCAAAAGCTCAGCGGACACCTAACAATCACAACTACTATATGACCAAAAGTATGTAGACTTTGATTTAAGGTGTTTTCAGTGAAGGCTGCTGTTAATATTATATACAATTATAGTTAGAGTGACTTTATATATGAGGGGCTGCCAAAATCCCATAAATTCTAATGTTGACACCCAATCTTTAGGACTTAAGGAACTCCACAATGAAAACAGGTATATAAAAATCAATATGTTTACTACTACTAATAATCTCATGCAAAACCAACAAGGCTGACCATCTCTAACAGCGGCTGTTATGGTCCCAAACTGTGTTTCCATTATCCCACATATTAACAAGTCATGTTACATAGTATACATTCCAAAACCATATCATGTATGATGGATATGCCCAATGCATTTTATATCCTTCAGGGGGTGGAGATTATTTACATAGACCAATGGCAATCTTACCTCATGTCAGTGATAAAAACATCACATGTCCCTTAACCCTGGCAAGTCACCTCAGCGACCACAAAGGCCAGACCAGCCACAAAGACCTGAATGTACTAGGCAACCCCACACTGTCTTGTCAATCATAACAAATAGCCACATCCGCAGATGGAAAGGGATAGTTCTTAAGTGACTGAATGTGGTGTGACCAGGAGCAGTGGTAGCTGATGTACAGGTTGTCATTAGCACAGCATACAAAGGTATTTTGGACAACTATGCTTCCAACCCTGTGATAACAGTTAAAGGTAGATTCTTTTTGGTTCCAGTAGGACTAAACGTCTGAGCGCAAAACCAGATCCATAAAGACATAGTTGAGTTTGGTGTTTAGGAACTTAAGTAGCCTGCACAGAGCGCTGATTATAAGTTTACTGTGAGTCGGGTCGTTTAAAAAAATAAAAACATAACCCTTGCCTGGGACTGAGCATCTCCTCACCCTCACTATCATTTCTGTTATTGGTTTTGTTCTCATTAGTACAAATTACATGCAGTACTTTGTCCCACCTTCCTATAAGCTGCCTAAGGCTAACTGAGCTAGCAAGGAGATGGGTGTTTTGAGGATCTGCACCTTTCTCCATGTCAAAGCGCTTGTCTGGAACATTTCAGCTGAAACAAAAAGTGTTGTCTATCAAATCAGTTATCTTATTGCTAGATGTGTTGTATGTCTGCTGTGCTAGGAGGAGAGGTGCCTTGTTAAACCTCAGTTAGCTTCAGACAACACATAGGAATACGAGGCAAAGTACAACATGTTGTCCAACACAAGTCCAAAGCTAGTCGACACAGGCCCTAACGTTTGCCAAAAGCTATGTATGACAAGGGCCTGCTGTTCCATTGAATTTATATCTAACAAGTATAGGCTCGCACTACACTGTCTTGGTAAATCTAGAAGAAACCACACAATCATAATTTAAAGTTACATTCACCTTAGGTCTAACAGAGGCTGCTCCGGGTAATGTTTCAAAAAACCTTACCAAATGTTATGAATCTATTGGACCTTGGGTGCGCTTCATACAAAGTTGTTCTGAACTTCAGCCCAAGTGCTAAGCTAAGACATTAAAAATGAGCATCTAAATCCAATGTAGATTATACTCCTCTACTGTGCAGAATCACCTCCTGGCTAATTTGGGGTATGCAGCATTCCCTGAGGTCTTGCTGGAAGGATGGTGACATCAACATCTGCAGTACAGAAGGCGGGGGGTAGGGCGAGATAAGGTAAGTATATGCTAATTACTAATATTTCCCCACCAGGTTTGTTTTCTTATTTTACTGTATTTTGGCAAGAGGAAGGGAGGAGTTAATAAAGCAGACCTTGATATGGCTTAGGATACTGAAGCGCTCAAATTCAACATTTGTCTACCAAGGTTAGGGTGACTCTTACAAAGATCCATTCCTATCCTGGTGAGACATGCATCAGCAGGATTGTTTGAGAATTGTTTAAATGAAAGGACCAATTACACCAAATAGTTTACCAATCTTTACCAATTAGGCAGGGCTGGAAATCTTATTCAACAAAATTATTCTTTGTATTTTTCTAACAATTATATTTATGTTCAAAAACTTATTCTTATGTGTATGGCCACACATATTAAAATAAATGACTGTACAATCACTGTGCAATCTCCTTTAGATATACCCACAACTATGAAGACCCTCCTAAACTTTTGTATTCTGTTTGGATAACCTTCTTACTTGCTGTTTCTAAATACAAATTAGATTGTACAATGCAAATATACCATCAAAATCTGTGCTGGTTCAAATAGATCGTAAGCTGCCAACACTAAATTCTGATACAAAGAATTAGCAAGACATACAAATAAAGTGTAAATAAAGTGCTAAAAGTATAAATAAACAATAATAATGCAATCCTAGCTGTGCATCCATGAAGCTAGATGTGACATTGGTTCCAATACAATATGAAAATAGTATAAAAATGGAAAATAAAAGCAAGTCCCATTTCCAAAAAAATGGAAAATACCAAAAAGGTGCAAACGTGAATCTTCAATTGCTAGATGGCCAAAAGTTATCCACGTGAAACACGTATCACCCCACTCCGTGCTCAAAGAAGGCTTACCAGATGTATTGACCATCATGTTATAGAGTGGTCAAAATCAGCTCAAGAATGATCATTAAGCAACTGCTCCAGCCTCCTCCATAGCATTCAAATGTGGTTCAAATAGTATGTGCCCACTCCGTATTGACCGTCAATGCATGCAAAATCAAATTGTATAACCAAACGCATTAGTTTCACATCTGACGTCAACTAAAACGTTTGGTTATATAATTTGGTTATATAATTTGATTTTCAAATTATATAACCAAACTGTGGTTGATGTTGCCATGTCTGACAACATGAAATAGGCAGAAATGTCAGTCTATAGCTCCCCGGATCCAAACATCTAAAATGTCCTGGGACTATATGGCCATGACTACAGATGTTCTACTCCTGACAAATGGGGGTGCCTCCTCAGTGACAGGATGACTTGTTCACAAACTTGGAGGTCCAGAACTTACAGCTGAACTGAATTCCAGGATTTGCTTTGGACCTGGAGGCCTGACGGAAATGGAAGGAACCCCCTTTTTTTGCCTCAGGAGTTGAAGGTTTTTCAAGACTTTGCCTTCTTTTTTGGGAGCAAAAGAGTACTCGTTTCCCCAGTGACTTCCTTAAAGGATAAGTTCCCCTTTCATAACAGGTTACACCCATATTCAGGGTGTAACAGGTTACCTTTGGACTGGCAATTGCACCCCTCTCCCCGTTGTAGCAGCTAGCGAGGGATCTTCCCTCCCCGCTAGCCATCCAAATTTTAAAAAAACATTTTTGGTGTTCTGTGAATGAATGAGCGACTGTCGGCTTTTCAATGAACTACCACGGTGCTCCACAGCGCTGTGGTGGTCATTGAGCTTTCCTGTCAGCGAGTATCTGCTTGCCCATTTGGTTGGGATGTACGAGTAAGCAGATATACTGACAGATCAGGGGAGACCTGCAAGGCACCAGCAATCTGATCACTGGTGCAATACTTTAGAGGCTACAGAAACAAAAAAATATAAATGCTAAATTTTTTACCTGCAAAAAAAAGGTGCATTTATTTTTTGTTAAAAGTTAAACTTATCCTTTAATGAAGATGTCCATTGATTCACCGAAGAGACACTTGTCCATCAAAGGGCAGACACAAGAAGTGTTTCTTGCACTGATGCTCTGATGACCAACATTTTTTGGGTTAGGTCAATCAAAAGAGGACCAGATGCAATATGGAATGCACTGTAAAGTGTACAGATCCTGACAATAATGCTGAGGCGGTATCCTTAAATTTTGGAATAATGTCAGTAGACCTCTCGTGCACCAAGTCCTCGAATAAGGATAATATACAATCCTCCTCTTTCTCGACCGACTGTGTGGAAGCAACTGCAGCCTCTGGGAATTTAGAGAGACTCTGGAGGAGACAGCATGGAAGCACCATCATTATAGCTGCAATTCTGCCCATAAACTCAGACACAGTAGGTGAAAATTGCTCCCTAAATAATACTGAGGAAGGAAAACTCAGAGGAGTGCTATGACAGTTGCAGAGTGATCTACAGTTGCAAGAAAAAGTATGTGAACCCCTTGGGATTACGTGGAGTTTTGCATGAATTGGGCATAAAATATGCTCTGAACGTCATCTAAGTCACAACAATAGAAGAACGCAGTCTGCTGAACATAATACTACACAAATATTAGATGTTGCCATGGTTTAATTGCACATAACATATAAACATTCACAGTGCAGGGAGAAAAAAGTATGTGAACCTTTGGACTTAATAACTGGTTGACCCTCCTTTGGCAGCAATAACCTCAACCAAACGTTTCCTGTAGTTGCAGATCAGACCTGCACAACGATCTGGAGTAATTTTGGACGACTCCTCTCCACAAAACTGTTTCAGTGTAGCAATATTCTTGGGATGTCTGGTATGAATCGCTCTCTTAAGGTCATGCCACAGCATTTCAATCGGGTTGAGGTCAGGACTCTGACTGGGCCACTCCAGAAGGCATATTCTGTGCTGTTGCAGCCATTGTTTTGTTGAATTACTTGTATGCTTTGAGTCATTGTCCTGTTGCATCACCCATCCTCTGCGGAGCTTCAGTTGGCGGACAGATGGTCGTACGTTTTCCTGCAAAATGTCTTGAAAAATTCCATTTTCCCATCAATGACAACAATCCGTCCAGGCCCTGAGGCAGCAAAGCAGCCCCAAACCATGATGCTCCCTCTGCCATGTTTTGCAGTGGGGATGAGGTTTTGATGTTGGTGTGCTGTGCCTTTTTTTTCTCCACACATAGTGTTGTGTGTTCTTCCCAAACAACTCAATCTTGGTTTCATCTGTCCACAGTATATTTTGCCAGTAGTGCTGTGGAACATCCAGGTGCTCTTTTGCAAACTTCAAACGTGCTGCAATATTCTTTTTGGACAGCAATGGCTTCCTCCGTGGTGTCCTCCCATGTACACCATTCTTGTTTAATGTTTTCTTTATTGTAGATGTGTCAACAAAAATGTTAGCATGTGCCAGAGATTTCTGTAGGTCTTTAGCTGACACTCTGGGATTCTTCTTTACCTCATGCAGCATTCTGCGCTGTGCTCTTGCAGTCATTTTTACAGGACGACCACGCCTAGGGAGAGTAGCAACAGTGCTAAACTTTCTCCATTTGTAGACAGTCTGTCTTACCGTGGACACATGAACATCAAGGCTTTTGGAGATATTTTTGTAACCCTTTCCAGCTTCATGCAAGTCAACAATTCTTGATCGTAGGTCTTCTGAGAGCTCTTTTCTGCGAGGCATGGTTCACATCAGACAGTGCTTCTTGAAACCAGTAAACCCAAAACAGGTGTGTGTTTTTTAAGGGCAGGACAGCTGTCAGCAACACATCCAATATCATCACACTGATTGGAGTCAAGGTTGGCTCACTCCTTGCTCCAATTATCTCTGGGAGAAGTCATTAAGCTAGGGCCTCACATACTTTTTCCTCCCTGCACTGTGAATGTTTACATGTTATGTGCAATTAAACCATGGCAACATCTAATGTTTGTGTAGTATTATGTTCAGCAGACTGTGTTCTTCTATTGTTGTGACTTAGATGACGTTCAGAGCACATTTTATGCCCAATTCATGCAAAACTCCACGTAATCCCAAGGGGTTCACATACTTTTTCTTGCAACTGTATGCTATCACTGTTAGGTCCTTTGGAACTGACATTAAGAACCCCTGCACTGTTCGTGCAAGCTGTCCAGGCCATGAAGACCATGCTAAATATGTAGGTAGGGATTACCACAAGGGGTACTCACAGAAACACTGCAGGAGAAAACAATGTTATCAGCTTTTCCAGTTCTCTTATAGGAACTAAAAAACACCTCACCCTATAATATGAAGATCAGGAAATGAGGTGTTTATATCCATATCAGGAGCCAAAAACAAAAGTCAAGGTGCACAAATAACGCAGTATATAATTTAGTAAGTCAATGTAACAAAGGTAATAAAAACGCACTTAAAAGTCCACTTGGGTCAGGCATATTATGATCTACAGGAAAATGGTGCCCAGCTGCACACAGATCAGCAGACTGTAAAACTAAAATAGTAAAAGTTAAGAATTGGCTTCAGATCAGTTCTCCACCCATAGAAGAACCCCTCCTAGTGCATTTCACCTACGGAAGGCTTAATCAGAGACCTGCTGATCCTGTGTGCGGTCGGAGCAATTTTGCTGTATTCTGAAGCGGAGTTCTGCTCTGAAGAAAGAGGCATGTCTCCTGAAACGCATCAGCTGGTATTATTCATTTGGTCCTAAGGAGATCCATGATGAGCTTGCTCCTTTTTCTTGGGTTTTATACAAAGCTATTAAATCACACTGGCTTTTGAGCATAATTTTTATATTTTATCCTTTATTATGAAGTGCTTGAAGATAATGCACTAGGCATTTTCTGCCTGTGTTTTTTTTTGTTCTTTGTGTAGTCTAAAGCTGAGCTTGGTGAGCATCACATCCCGACCAGCACCAGCAAACAGTGTGACCAGACACAAGACTCACCTTTCCAGATACACCCAATCATGGGTCAATTTTCACAGTTCGTCTATTGTACAAATTTTAGTTCCAGTTTGCAGTATTCCCCTCAGGCTGGCCAGAAGACGGCAGACTGTTTCCTTTACATCCAAACTGCAAATGGACTTAATTTACAACACACATGTGAGATCCAAATGGGTTTAAGTATGTGCAGTATCACCTTTTTAATTGCTTTAAAAAATTACATTCTACACAACCCAGTGCACCCTGACTTTTGTTTGGCTCATGGTATCTCCTTGGAGATGCATGACTGCAAGGATTGACAGAGAAGGATGACCTTTGACAGTTCTGGGTGAGCATGTTCCTATTTACTTCTTTTTCCAAATCCAGAGAGCAGCCTGGGATGACAAAGTTCCTGCTCCACAGATACAAAAAAAGTTTGTAAGTGTAAACTTTTGTCACCATAGGACAAGAAATGTGTTATTGTCAGAAGCACCAGGTGAAAATAGAGGAAAGAACCCTAAAACCTGCATTTTTGTTCTTTGGTTTACTTACAATTTAAACAGTTTAAAAAGACGCATTTTGAGCCGTTTGACTTGAGGCATAAAACAGCCAATACTGTAATCTTGATCCTATGCTAAATTCTAAAATATGTGGTTTAAAAATGAACAAAATGATCACTGAATGATACAATGACATTCATTTCATCATTGTACAGAGCAAATTCAAAATATCTTGTACATAATCAGAGATGCCTATTGAGATCAACAAGTAATAATGCAGAGTGTCAGACATGATTGTCTCCAGGCTATCTACATTATTACATCTAATAAGTTTGATCAAAGTTTGATCTCTGTTCTAGCAAGGTGACATTTCCTTTTAAATAAATCTTTTTAAACATTTACACTTGAACACCAGGGGGCAGCAAAGGACTAGCCAAATATAACGCGTTACATGGCGAGAAACATTTAGAATATGTATACTCATCCATTGCATAGTCTGAACAGTTCTAGAAGGCATGAGCAATCTTTTAAACGAAAAAAAACAAATCACTTGAGTATTAAAAAAAAAAAAAAAAAAAAAAAAAAAGCAATGCATCATGTCCACTGGTATTGTGCGCACAAGCAGTGAAGGAAGGTGTTATGACATACCTATAGGTGATAGCGGTGTAATGGATTGCTTCTTGATACCTGTAGGTATCTGAGGAGTGACACTTGCTATTTCCGTCTTTTTCTTCTCTTGTGGTTTATCTGCATTGCTGGGCTGCAGTGGACACAGAAGAGGAGTTATTTCTGGATGTTTTACAAAAGGTCTGTCTTTCAAAGACTGCACTGCGCCTGACCTAGCAATAAAGCTTGACATTTTATACCACTTGCTATAAATTTACAATTCCCAGCTTGCCTAACCCTACACACAGTTAAAACATAAATCAAATATTTAGGCAAAATATTCATGTTGAAGATGGCTTTAAATGAAACAAAAGAATTTTTAATGTTCCTTTTTATTATATTATGTGCATGACTATGAGATATTTTGATAGGTGTTTATTTTTGGAGGGAGAGAGAGTGTAAAGCTAGTACTGAAGTATTTTAAAAGGTTTGTGTTTCTTTTATGCTGTGAATAGCAGGATATCAGACTAGACCCACATCATTTAATATGCAGAAGCAGACAAAAAGTGCAGAAGCAGTGCTGGGCTTTTCTCATGGAAAAAGTCTAGCAAAAAAAAAAAAAAAAAAGTATACACACAGTACTGTGCGAGGTGTGAAGAAATGCTGTAAAGTAAGAATGCTTTCAAAAAATATATATTTTAAATGTTTATTTTTTATCAATTTTGAAGATGCAAAGTAAACAAACGAACAGAATCAAAATCAAAATTTGGTGAGTACCCTTTGGCTTCCAACCAGCATCAATTGTTACACTGGCACACTTTGTACACTTTCACAGTCAGGGATTTTGTTGCATTAGAGTCAAGTGTATGAATAACCAATCATACCAAGCAGGTGCTAATGATCATCAATTTCATATGTAGGCTGAAACACAGTCATTAAACTGAAACAGAAAGCTGTGTAGGAAGCTTAAAAACTGGGTGAGGAACAGCCAAACTCTGCTACTAAAGTGAGGTTATGAAAGACAGTTTCAGGTCACAGGTCATTCCACCATGGCAAGACTGAGCACAGCAATAAGACACAAGGTAGTTATACTGCCTTTTAACTAGTTGCCGACCGCAGATAGCCGAATGACGGCTGCACTGCGGCCGGCCAGTTCTGAGTGGACGTCATATGACGTCCTCCCAGAACGCGCTCTCCTGCGCGCCCCAGCGGGCGCGCACCCGGCGATCCTACGGACACAGCTGATCACGTGATGTGGTAAAAGGCCAATCACAGCAGCCTTTTACCACGTGATCAGCGGTGTTCATTGACACGCTGATCAGAGGGAAATGCAAGTGCCGGTTCTCGGCTGCACTTTCCTCACGCTTTCAGATCGTGAGGAAAGTACTGCTGAGAACCGGCAGGTGTCAGAGCGGGGATCGGCACCGATCATCAGGGCACTGATGATCAGTGCCCTGATGATCGGTGCCCAGCAGTGCCACCCACAAGTTCCGCCCACCTGTGCCCAGCAGTGCGCCCACTAGCTCCGCCCACCTGTGCTCAGTGCAGCATCACCCACCTGTGCCCAGAAGTGCCACCTACCTGTGCCCAGCAGTGCCACCCACCTGTGCCCACCCACCTGTGCTGCCCACCAGTGCTGCCAGTCAGTGCCACCAGTCAGTGCCCAGGGGTTGTGCCAGTCAGTGCCCAGCAGTGATGCCAGTCAGTGCCGTCTATCAGTACCCATCATCAGTGCCGCCAGTATCAGTGCTGCATATTAGTGCCGCCTATCCGTGACACCTCATTAGTGCTGTCTATCAGTGCCGCCTATCCGTGCCACCTCATTAGTACTGCCTATCAGTGCCCTTTAGTGTTGCCTATCAGTGCCCATCAGTGCCGCCTATCAGTGCCGCCTCATCAACGCACATCAGTGAAGGAGAAAAAATACCTGTTTGAAAAATTTTATAATAGAAACAAAGAAACTTTTTTTTTTCAAATTTTTTGCACTTTTTTTATATGATAATTTTTGATAATTTTTATACAAATAATGAAACTGAAGTGAGGAAATGGCAAAAGTATAGCTAATATAAATACAACACAGAAAGTGCAAGTAACCTTTTTAAAGGATCCTTCCAATAACCATACTGAGTGGACTAAATCCTGGAGTATCAAGCCATGGAGCCCATAACTTCTCAAACACCCCCTATGTTTGTAAATACATTTTTCCAATCTCAGAGTATCTCCCCCTTGTTTAAACCATTCTGCATGTGTAGGTGGGTCTGCTGACTTAAGCTTACATGCCTGAAATAGTGCTCTATTAATGGCCTCAAACGTAACAGTTTGCAATTACGGGGAGTCAACAATACCTAATATGCATTGTTTAGGGTCTAGCTGGATTGAAGTCTGGAATACCTTGTTAAGGGAATGTATAACACCCACCCAATAGGTATGTGTGACAATTGTGCGCATAGAGACATGATGCTGGAGTAATTTTTTATACAAATTCATAAACTTCAGCAGGAACTGGGCACCATGATATGGAGTATATATTCGGATAGGTCATTTTAATATGAGTCACATGACACCTTACATCCCTATGTAGCGCCTACAAGAGAGTAGAAAGCAATTTATTTTATCCGGAGAGGCAGGATATGCTACAGTTTGGTATCTGCGCATTTGGAATATGATTCTAAATATTAATCTGCCAGTTGCTAGGATGCTACCTGTACCTATTGAAGGTTATTGACTCTAGTATGAACTTGTAAGGGATTTGGTCCTAACCTTGGTGAGGTGATTGGCTATTTGTTCTCAGGAGACACCCCTTTGAGATAATAGAAAAAGACTGACAGCCTGGAGAAAAGTGAGCTCTCCCTTTTAACATCAGGAACCATCTTTCGAGAGCCAAGGCAACCTTTTGTTCGGACGATTGGACTCTGCTCAAACCAAGGACTTTCGCAAGTATTCTGCCTTCTGAACTTCTTTCTTTTATTTCTCTGTTGTTTTATTACTCTCTTTATATATATATTTGTTACATCTTTTTCTGTAAATATTTTAATTGCACCATTTTTACCTTTGTAGTAATAAATCCTATTTTCTGAAAAGTGTTGAACTCTAAAGCTTTTAATACAAACTAAAGAATCCCTGTCTCTGAAGAGTGCTTCTGTATGTGATAATCCTCTGAATACATCTGTCTGTGGTGGCAGTGTGTTACAGACGCTTTTATTAACTAGTAGCCGACCGCAGATAGCCGAATGACGGCTGCACTGCGGCCGGCCAGTTCTGAGTGGACGTCATATGACGTCCCCCCAGAACGCGCTCTCCTGCGTGCCCCAGGGGGCGCGCACCCGACGATCTCCGTGATCGCTGCGTCCTACGGACAAAGCTGATCACGTGATGTGGTAAAAGGCCAATCACAGCGGCCTTTTACCGCGTGATCAGCGGTGTTCATTGACACGCTGATCAGAGGGAAATGCAAGTGCCGGTTCTCGGCTGCACTTTCCTCACGCTGTCAGATCGTGAGGAAAGTACTGCTGAGAACCGGCAGTTGTCAGAGCGGGGATCGGCACCGATCATCAGGGCACGGATGATCAGTGCCCTGATGATCGGTGCCCAGCAGTGCCACCCGCAAGTTCCGCTCACCTGTGCCCAGCAGTGCGCCCACCTGTGCCCAGCAGTGCACCCACCTGTGCCCAGCAGTGCACCCACCTGTGCCACTCTGCAGTGTCACACACCTGTGCCCAAAAGTGCCACCTACCTGTGCCCAGCAGTGCCACCCACCTGTGCCCACCCACCTGTGCTGCCCACCAGTGCCACCCACCAGTGCTGCCAGTCAGTGCCACCAGTCAGTGCCCAGGGGTTGTGCCAGTCAGTGTCGCCAGTCAGTGCCCAGCAGTGATGCCAGTCAGTGCCGTCTATCAGTACCCATCATCAGTGTCACCTATCAGTGCCGCCTATCAGTGCTGCATATTAGTGCCGCCTATCCGTGACACCTCATTAGGGCTGTCTATCAGTGCCGCCTATCCGTGCCACCTCATTAGTACTGCCTATCAGTGCCCTTTAGTGCTGCCTATCAGTGCCCATCAGTGCCGCCTATCAGTGCCGCCTCATCAACGCACATCAGTGAAGGAGAAAAAATACCTGTTTGAAAAATGTTATAATAGAAACAAAGAAACTTTTTTTTTTCAAATTTTTTGCACTTTTTTTATTTATAGCGCAAAAAGTAAAGCGCCCAGTGGCGATTAAATACCACCAAAAGAAAGCTCTATTTGTGAGAAAAAAAATTATCAAAATTTCATATGGGTACAATGTTGCATGACCGCGCAATAATCAAAGTGTGCGGCAGCGCTGAAAGCTGAAAATTGGCCTGGTAAAAAAGGGGGTATAAGTGCCTGGTAGGCAAGTGGTTAAAGTATCCTGGGGTTTCAAGATGTGCTGTTCAAGCTCTTTTGAAGAAGCACAAAGGCCAAGGAAACTTAATGCAACAAATGAAAGACATAGTGCCATCAGCACAGAACTGGTGGAAACCAGTAGAACCCAGGTACACCCATCTACTGTCTGTAAAAGTCTGGCCAGAAGTGGTCTTCATGGAGGAATTGAAGCCAAAAGGCCATACATCTGACGTGGAAACAAGGTTAAGCGACTCAACTGTGCACTAAAACATAGGAACCGGAGGTTAGAAAAATGGCAGCAGGTGCTCTGGACTGGCGAGTCAAAATTTTAAATATTTGTCTGTAGCAGGAGGCAGTTTGTTCGGGAAGGGCTGAAGAGCTGTACAATAATAAGTGTCTGCAGGCAACAGAGAGACATGGTGGAGGTTCCTTGCAAGTCTGGGCTGCATTTCTGTAAATGGAGTTGGAGATTTGGTCAAGATCAATGATGTCCTCAATGCTGAGAAATTATTAATATTATACAGTATTTATAAAGCGCCAATGGTTCGCTCAGCGCTGTACATTACAATGGGAGACAATACATGAGACAGTACAATAACAATACAATGCGATACACGAGGGGTTCGAGGGGCCTGCTCCTTGGAGCTTACAATCTAGGAGGGGGGGGGGGGGATAGTGGTACAGGAGGAAAAGCTGTGGGGGATGGAGTGGTAGGAAGAGTGGAGGAGATCAGCAATTAGCAGGGGGCGGGGTAGGCTTCCCTGAAGAGGTGGGTTTTCAGGGTGCGCCTAAAGGAGAGGAGAGTAGGCGATAGTCTGATGGATTGGGGTAGAAAGTTCCAGAGGATGGGTGATGCCCTGGAGAAGTCCTGGAGGCAGGCATGGGAGGAGGAGACCAGGGAACTAGAGAGAAGGAGGTCTTGTGAGGAGCGGAGAGTGCGTTTTGGGTGGTATTTGGATATTAGGTCAGTGATGTAGTTTGGGGCGGTATTATGGACAGCTTTGTACATCAGTGTAAGCATTTTGAATTTGATCCGTTGGGCAATTGGAGGCCAGTGGAGGGATTGGCAGAGGGGGGTGGTGGAAACGGAGCGGTTGGTAAGGTGGATGAGTCTGTCAGCCATATTCAGGATCAACTGAAGCGGGGATAGTCTGTGGTGGGGGAGGCCAGTGAGGAGGGAGTTGCAGTAATCGAGTCGTGATATGATGAGGGAAGAGAAATACAGGCAGATACTTCTCCATCATGCCATACCATCAGGGAGGTGTGTGATTGGCCCCAAATTTCTTCTACATAAGGACAATGACCCCAAACATATAGCCAATGTCATTAAGAACTTTCTTCGGTGTAAGGAAGAACAAGGTGTCCTGGAAGCGATGGCTTGGTCCCCACAGAGCCCTGATCTCATCATCTGGGATTACATGAAGAGACAGAAGGATTTGAGGCAGCTTACATACACGAAAGATCTGTGGACAGTTCTCCAAGATGTTTGGAACAACCTACCTGCCGATTTCCTTCAAAAACTGTGTGCAAGTGTACCTAGAAGAATTGATGCTGTTTTGAAGGCAAAGGGTGGTCACACCAAATATTTCTCTTCTGTTCATTTACTTTCCATTTGTTAATTGATAAAAATAAAGTATTAACACTTCTAATTCCTAAAGCATTCTCGATTTATATCATTTTTTCATACCCGCCTAAAATTTTTGCACAGCTGTGTATATAAGAACGAGATTATAAATTTGTATACAAAAAAAAAAATACTAACAAACAATTTTTTTATTTTCAAAAAAGAGCAATTGCATGTGTGCATGACAATGAAAACACTGGAGGAGATTAAAAATGGAGCACACAGAACCTGGTTCAACTGCATATTAACCAATTAGCTTCCAGGTTTAATATCAAAGATTAATAGAACAAGCTGAAGTTAGAAGCTGATTGGTCACTATGCACAGCCGCACCAGATTCTGTGTGCTCCAGTATTAGTAAATCTCCCCCAAAGTAATTAAATGGCAAAGCTACTCTATGTTGTGCATGCAAGGTTACAGTGCCCAAAACGAGGGTTATGATGGAAAACATAGTCATTTTACACATAATCTACTGATTATATAGCGAAAAGGTCTCCTGCAGTCAACCGATTATCTGATGAGACAACTATGGGTTTGTGCTTACTTGTTCATTTTTATGTTGTATATTATACACAAAAGACCATAAAGAGGGATTAACTTTTTGTGAGCCATCACATTAGCTGGTGAAAGTATTTAAACTCCAGTCACAGAGGTGCTGGTCTAGATGATAAAAGGTTCCTTAAAGCATACTGTGCCAACAAGCTTTAAGGGGTTGAGAGCTTTATGTGTATCACGCCTGAACACCCCGGTACTCAGCACTATTATACATGACAAGGGTATAGATTAGATGGTGAAAAAACCCTGCAAACCACAGCACAGAAGTCTATTTAGGTGCCCTAAAGAAACAGACACTGAGTGGTTCAGACACTCATGTGCATGAGCACAGTAATACAGAAAGGGTCAAATGTCTCTCACAAAATATTAGGTGTTTTTTCTTCCTTCATATGAATATACCAGCCACTAATGATTTATGTTAGGGTCTGTTCTTCCAAAACTCTGTGTTTGGGGTGGCAGATGCAGGAGAGTTAAAGGCCAAGTTCACCTTTGAATGTGACCACATAGACAAGGGCCCCAGCAGGTTTAAGAGAAAAAAACAGAGCAGGTTTGAAAGATTGCAATTAATGCAAGTGCCAGTCTTGTAAGGAATTGTCACCGTTTCAAAAAAGGGGTGCAGCCAAAAAACGTCCTCGATACAATCATTCCTGCGTCCGGACGTGTTGCGTTCTGTATGTTGAACACTCACTCCCAAGATCACAGAAGCTAGCACTCTTCCTGGTCCAAAAGCCATTGCGTATCATGTGCACACTACACTCTCTTTCCCCCGTGATGCAGGTTTAAGAAAAAAAACAGAGCAGGTTTGAAAAATTGCAGCACTTTCTTGCAAAAGAAGCTAGCACTCTTCCTGTGATGCATGTGCACTACACTCTCTTTCCCCCTGATGCAGCACTTTCTTGCAAAAAGTGAACTTCGGCTTTAGCCCACCAGTTTTTTTTTTATATATCTTCGGGACTGTATTAGCAAGATTTGTGCATTACAGTTCCTGGGTCTACACACCTTCTGTGGCCATTATTAAGGGGGTCCCAAAATCCACATTGGATATTTTATTTTAAGGTACAGAGAATGCAACAGGACCTCTTGGAACATGCAAAAGTAGGAGGGAACACCCATAATTCTAATCACATAAGAACAGACTTGAGCATTAAAAAAGCCAGGAACTAACTCAGCCCACCTGCTCCAAGCATAAAGTGTCAATCCTAGGTAGACTGACCCTTTAATCATAAATGATAATGTGTTTACTGAGTAATTCCTAGCTACCAAACAAAGCTGAAATCAGATCGGAGAAATATCACTTTTGATTGATTGGTTTAGAGTCCTGCACATTACAAACTACCGCATTAAATACGCTCAGCCTTTTTATTACGAATGAATGCATGTATGTTTCTCATGAATGTCCCAGTGTTTACTGTACCTCAGTGTCTCCAATCAGAGCCACAAGTTTCTTGGCCCTCTCATCCAGACTGACATGTTGGGTGGGGAACATCAGAGCTTTGATGTACTCTGTGGGGGAAGTTAGTGGTTATTCCATGGAAGACGACAAAGTGAAACAATAATAAAATATATTAGAACTCATAAAAAGTTATGGGTCAAGGGTCACAGGTGAAAGGATGTTTATACAAAGAAACCATTTTGTAGGCATCTCAAATAGGATCTGTTATCACTGACCTTGATGGTTATCGGGAATATAGTCATTTACTTCGGTATAGACAAGCAAAGCCGGGAGACACAGAGGCTGATTAATTTCATTCCTGAGACAGATGTAGTGATATCCTAAATACAAAAAAAAAAAAAAAAAAAGATTAATCAGAAGACATACAATAACAACAGATTGAGGCAAAAGAACAAAAAAATGTTTTCTGCTTTCTCCTGGCTGTTATCTACAGAGTTGTACATAAAATGGCATGTATTATACAAGCACATATACTTATGCCTTTCCAGGCAGAGACATTGCAGGATGTCTTCCATGCATGAACTTGCTTTCATTTTGTGAAGATGAGCTCATCTCTGGACATCTGACTGTAAACTATGTGCTCATACAACTAGGACACCTATGTGGCTCAATTCACAAATGCTCTTGTTTGATCATCATTTTACTTGATACTGTGTCTTACACTCCTCATATGTCCAAAGGCTCAATTCACAAAGGTGCATAATATGGCTCTGTAAGTAGTACCACTAGTAGTGTGGTTATAACTTATTTTAACAGCCATAGGGTCAATTCACAAAGCTTTAGAAGGGTAACTCCACTTCTGCAGGGAAAAAAACAAAACAATATAGCATATAATATTGCTTTCACAAGCCATATTGTTATGTAAAGGTTAATTAAAAATTACTTTTCCTTTACAATCTGCAGCACAGTAGCTTTTTGTAAAACTCAATGCAATATGGCAACCTGGAGGCCTTCTGTACACAATTATTGTACAGAACTTCCCCAGAAATGTAAATTGTTCTTGTGCAATTGCACAAATAGCTCACTGATTTTCCAAGAAGCTCGCACTAGAGCTCCATTCACACTAGGTTGTTTCAAATCGTGAGCAGAATCACAGTGATTCTGCCCACCATTTGAAAACTAGCTGTGGAAGTTTGAAAGCGTGCAATTGCATGTTTAGGTACCATTCATTTTAATGGCAGCTGAAAATGCACAGGTGTTTTTGCTGTGATAGCAGCGCGTTTTTTAAATGAATGGCTCCTGAACACGAGATCACGAGTTTTCACATTTTCACATCAAGGGCAGCATCATGGCAATTAAACCAGCGATTTGAAATGCCCTAGTGTGAATGAAGCTTTAGATACAAGTCAGGTTTCAGGCATTCTCTGAAACAAACATTTCACTTTTGGCGAGCTACTCCCAAAGGTTTAATTACTTCTAAAGGGATGCAGACCCTGCAACTTTCCTCATCAGAACACTGCAAGTGCATCAGCTGATTACAAATGAAAAGGTTGCTCCCATTCAGAATCACTCTGCACACAAACAGCTATTTCTTTAGAGCAATAACAGGTAGGAATCTGCAACAATGTTTATAAAAATTCCTGCAATGTACAATGTTCACCCAGAAGGGATTTTTTTTTTTTGTCCAACAGAAGAGGAGTTAGTCTTTAACACAGGGATAAGCAGTCAATTCACAAAGATTATTAGTGTAGTGTACTAATAAGCAGGAAAAAGAGCTGTTTAAGGAGAAGCCAATTCCTAGGGCTGTGTTCACATGGGCGATTAGGACCAAAACAGCAAATTATTGTGGCTAGAATCAGGGGATTCCTGCCACAAGAATCACAGGTCCATCCAAACAGCTGCAGCTGGGAAACCTGTACAAATGAATAACAAGTGGCCACAGCTGACTATATGCAATCACACATGAAGTGATTACTTGTGATTAGGGACAGATAATCAACCCTGGATGCTATAACAGGCCCAGACCTGTGATTCCTGCTGTAGGACTCCCACTGATTCTTGCTACAATAATCAGCTGTTTGGTCATAAGTAAAAAAACTGAAAAAAAAAAACCTGCACTCAATGAAACTAAATATTGAGTCAATGAAATGTGGAATGGCAGCACTCCCACATCAGAATACTGGCCAGATACTTAATATATAAAACAAGGTTCTCTATCCCTTTAGGAATCACAACAAATATCACAAATCCAAGTGAGTAGAAAACCTTGTGACACATACTGTATGTGCAATACAATCCTGTGTAACATATCAGAAAAAGGTGCAAATCACATTAATAGAAAACAGCCACTCGGTACCAAAAATGCCCATAAAGTGAATACGTGTAAATATCTAGTGCCAACTGCTTCAATCCAAAACCCTCCAGGGGCACACACTCCTTACCAGAAAGGTTGACCTCTAGGTTATAAGAAGTCAGACTGCTGTGTCACAACGGATCCAAGCAGCTCCAGCCAGTTAAGTCAGCATCACACCTTCACAGTTCCTGATGATGTCTGCTATGATGAAACGCGTTGGTCAGAGCCCGCGGTGACATCACACCCACTGTTCTCCTCTAGTCTTTTGGGAGTACATTTACTAAATAAATATGTATTGGTTTAAATGGTACTGCACTATTTAGCCTCTCGTTCTGTGGTGGTACATGACCATCTGGAGGAGATGTTTACCAGTGTTATTAGGCTATGAAGGTGAAGCAGGCATCATCTGCAATTTTTGGATTGAAGCAGTTGACACTCTGTCACTGCAGTGATATTTATCCTCAACACTTGTTCATTTTATTGACATTTTTGACACAGAATGGCTGTTATCTATTTATGTGATTTGCACCTTTGTCTGATATATTACACATGATTGTATTGCACATATGTGTCACAAGCTTTTATACTCACTTGGATTTGTCATATATAAGTTTATGTTTGGTCATAATTACCCATGTGAATGCAGCCTTTGGGACTGGCTTCTCCTCAAACAGCTCCTGCTTTCTCAATACACACCAATTTTAAAGCACAGTTATTGCCATCTTGAAAGCTGGTGTTATGTGGCCGTAAATGTGCACATGGACATGTGATTTCTGCCATAGAAATCCACTGATTCTTTCTGCAGGAATCCGCTGCTCATTCATAATCACTTCTGTGAACACAGCCTAAAAAGGTTCAGTTCACGAAGGTTATAATAATGCCATTAATTTTCTTCCATAATAAATTTTGGCCTAAAACTGTTCAATTCACAAACATAAGTAGCGCTTATGTGTGTAATCCTTATTTTTCTATATGAAATTAACATTTACTGTCATTTTTCCCATAAATCATTTATCATATATATTTTTTTCAGCATATCAAACAGCTACTTTTCCTGCTTTCCTAGTTACAGTGTTTTATGTAACCTGGGCACAGATATCTCTAATCTTAATCCCCAACCCATCTGTGAGTATTTCTAAATGAATATGGCTACTTTGACAAGCGACACCTTCCTGTAATGGTCGATCATACTTATATTTTTAGAAAGTGATCAGCAATGGCAGTCTTTGAATGTTTCATTAAAGGTTTCTATTAACATCATCAAAAGATCATAGACCAAACATATGCTCACTCCCTGTATTGAAAATGATCTTGGTATTATCTGCCCCATTTCATATGTGCTTGGTAAAGAGTTTACCGCAACATAAAATTCCATTCAAAATGCAAACACTGCAGCATGCTTCACAAGCATGTGTCAAAAGCAAAGCACTGTTGTCTGTGTGCACTGATTTTTATGCATTACCCACATTATTTGGCAGGGGGAGCCCATGAACTGGAAATAACCCCAAGCCCTCAGTACAAATTACCCACAAGCGCCTACACTTCTCACCTGGTCGTATTGCAGACACTGGCAGAATCCTGTGACCAACAAACTTTCCACCTTCCTCAAACACGGCAATGCGAAGGGAGGCAAGTGTAGGTAGGACCACCTAGAGTAGATGAAGCTTAACCTTTTATCAAGTTACACAGTGAAAGTGGAACATGGATAGAAAGAAATGGGACCAGAAACATGAAAGAAAAGTCCATACCTTTGGGAATTCAAACGGCTCCTCGTCCCACACAGGGTTAAAGGAGTTTCCTTGGGATGTTTTTGTCCTATACTTTCTTTTTGTGTCAACAGGCAAACCAAACATATCAACCTCTACATATATTCCAACACGTTTATCAGACAGGAATTGGCCTGAGATAATCTGTGAAGAAAGACAAAAAAAAGTTAGGACCGAGTCTGCAAAGTTAGCCCCATCCAGTCTACTTCCTTCCACTTCTCTACTGAACTCTCACCTTAATCTTTACAGTATTTGCCACAATTCCATCAACAATATTTTCTGTGAAAGGATCAAAGGGCTTATCAGTCCTACGCATGAATTCTGGCTTCAGGAGGTACCCCGCTGCGCCGGTTATATTCAAATATCCCCATATTTAACTGCATTGCCAGGTCTGTAGTGAAACAAGCATAACATTAGACACAAAATAGAAGTATGAAAGTTGGGGCAGCATTCATACCAGCATAGACACTATTTTAGAGACCTTTAAGTCCTTTTTATCAACAGCTGCATACCTCCAAAGCAGACTATACCAGTGGCGAATTGAAACTTTCTAAATAATAATATTTCACTGCCCACTCTTTCCTCAATGGATAGAAATATACTTGATTCCACATTAACTCCAGAAAACTTGAACTTGCGGTTGCGAGCCTTCCTAACTGTAAGGCTCCAGGCCTGGATGGCCTACCCAATGAAATTTACAAACGGTATGGCGATTCTGTTCTTCCTGCCTTGTACTTTTAACAAAGCCTTCTCCTATGGTCTGCTCTTGCCTGCCATGACTGAAGCAACTATAGTAGTAATACCCAAAAAAGCTAAAACACCCATTATACCTGGAGTGTTACAGACAAATATTACTCACCTCTGACATGACACTTCTTGCAAAAGACCTTGCCAATAAATTAAATAAGGTTATTTCCCAAATGGGCTCTATGCCCAATCTCTCCACTGCAACCAACATTAGACATGCTTTTCTAAATATACTGACCCCCAGTTGATACATATACTAATAGAGCTCTTCTCTCCCTGGATGCCGTCAATGCTTTTGACAGTATTGAGTGGAGGTACAGTATGTATAGGAAGTCTTTATGAAATTTGGTTTTGGTGAATCATTTGCACGAGTCTTGAGAACGCCCGATGGGAGGGGCGAAACGCGATGACGCATTTCCGGTCCATTTGCCGTACGTCTGACATAACTTCCGGTGAGTGGAACGCACGCCGAGCGGTGCGTTCCAGCGGCCATTTTGCGGGATTTAGGCTGGTTTTTAGCTGTGTCTCTGCCTCATCTGACTGCATTGATGTGGGAATCCTGGAGTATGTGGTGGCTGTGATCATCAGGTTGTCTTGGGCCCAATAAATGTGCTTTTTTAAAGCTATTGAAATGTGAGTGAGTGGCCTGGAGTCTGTTCATTACGGTATAAGATTGATCTTGGCAATATTACACTATGTAAGTTTTTTTCTTTGATAACACGGTGGAGCAAGTGAGGAGGCCACGGTGAGGACCTGAAAGAGGATCTTATCTTGGGGAGGCTAATTTTGAGCGGATGAAAAGAGGGCTTGGGATTCCCTATAAAATTCCTAAAGGCTTTACATTCACCTAAATCTGGTGAGTGTATTTGATGTTGGTGTGCACGGGTGAAAGGTGGAAGGCTAGAAATTTCACTTGGAGGTCTTTATTTTTCACCACAAGGGACTTTATGGAGTTTTTTTATTTGAAGATTCCTTTGATACAAATATGCACTAAGTGTTATGGGATTTTGATTTTTTGTGATTTTTTTTTGTGATTTATTAAGATCTATTTTGCTCTGTTTATTTATATATTTCACTGTTTGTGTATTCACAATTTTTTGTACAGCAGCAATTTAGAAGGGTGATTCATGTAATTTGTATTGGCGCAGGAATATTTTTCTTTTAAACTGCTGTATGCTTCTGCGAAGGCCTTGATCTGGGTTCACGATATACAATCCTCCCCCATTCCGCACCACTGTGGAACAAGCCAGGGCTGTCATCTGTCACCACTCTTATTTGCGATCACAATAAAGCTGTTGTCCAGAGCTACCCATTCATTCATAAACGGTAGTATACAGTGCCTTGAAAAAGTATTCATTCCCCTTGAAATTTAACACATTTTGTCATGTTACAACCAAAAGCGTAAATGTATTTTATTAGAATTTTATGTGATAGATCAACAAAGTGGCACATAGTTCTGAAGTGGAAGGAAAATGATAAATGGTTTTCAAAATGTTTTTACAAATAACTGAAAAGTGTGGCATGCATTTGTATTCAGCCCCCGAGTCAATTTGTAGGACCTCCTTTCACTGCAATTACAGCTGCAAGTCTTTTTGGGGATGTCTCTACCAGCTTTGCACGTCTAGAGAGTGAAATTTTTCCCATTCTTCTAGCTCAAGCTCTGTCAGATTGGATGGACAGCATCTGCGAACAGCAATTTTCAAGTCTTGCCACAGATTCTCCATTGGATTTAGGTCTGGACTTTGACTGGACCATTCTAAACACATGAATATGCTTTGATCTAAACCATTCGATTGTAGCTCTGGCTGTATGTTTAGGGTCGTTCTGCTGGAAGCTGAATGTCCATACCAGTCTCAGGTCTTTTGCAGACTAACAGGTTTCTTCTAAGATTGTACAAAAAGTGGCCACTGCCCTGTCTATTACAGCACAGCAAGGAGCACATGGAAGGGTGACGCATGTCAAACAAAAAAGAAAAATTCCCAGTTCTAACTTGCCAGCCAGCTTGCAAAAAAAAAACAAATTAACCAGTCTAACAGTGTGCGTTAAAAACAGGGGTTTAGTTAGCACACATTTGCAAATACATGCATAAGCTACAGAGCCTCGTCACGGCACCCCAGTATTCTGTAGTTCAAAACTCCATAGTAGAGGCACATGTATTTAATGGATAGACCAAAGGCAGATGGATCTGAGGGAGCCCACCCTTTCTTAAAGGTACAGGAGCGCAATGGACACCCAGCATGTAGCACAATGGCAGCTAAAGAGTCCAGTGCGCCCCCTCGACCAACAATTGGTAGAAGAAGTCATAAGGATGAAACAATAGGGGTGTGGCTAAACGGCGTGAAGGAAGTAACATCAGTCAGTGGATCGACAGGGTGGAGGAGTGAAGCTGTGAGCTATCTACCCAGAGGAAAACATCTCACCGACTCTTTGGGATTTGTTGCACTTTTCATCGCCAATTGGTGAAAACTATGAAAGTGTGGAGCGCTGCTCCCCACATTAAAAAAAAAAAAACAACAAAAAAAACAAACAAAACAAAAACAGCATATACAGTACACCCAACTAGGACCAGCAATGTACTGGTGTATCACTGGACTTTGAGTGGTTATACCAGGAGTGGGAGGTGTTCCACTTCTTTGAGGATATACATCTTTAAGTTACTCAGCCAACCATGAGAATGGGGGGCATGGCGGTCTGGTGAGTGCACGCCCGAAAGGGGGAACACTATATCTATTTTGCACACGTGGCGATTTGTGTTGGAGAATTGGAAGATTTTGTGGGCCTATTAAGGACTTTTTCTGGACTTTTTTCCACATTAAGAGTTTTTTTTTTTCTGAGATTAATGTATGTGTTATTTTTCGCTACTGAATCACTTTGAAGTTTCTGGTTATACTATTCTATTAGAAGTGACAGCAATTATTTGAATATTATTCACATTATCATTATTATCTTGTTTAGCACGTATTTTTAGTGCAGTTTTTTGTTTCTTTATAATAGGAAAGGACAGGTGGGCAGTGCGGTTGCAAATGATTCTGCAGCTGTAGGATCGAAGCTGTAGCAATACTTCCAGCACTCAATGAAAATTTAGATTGTAAACTGAAAGAGATCCACAGTGCAGCATACACCTCGTTGGACTTGACCTCTTATAACCTAGCACATTTTAAACTGCAATTCCTGAAGCTCTTATTGAGTAAAAGCCTTTTAAGTGAATTGCCCTCCAAACATAGTAAAACTCTCGTGGACATTGACATTAAGATCTTCCTGCATATCTGCTAAGATTGCCAGTAAAATACACCTTCCATAGGGATGAATGAAAGTAACATGCAGTTAAAACATACAAGTATTGAAACTGAACTGCATGACAAACTCAGCTTTGAGGACATGAATGGAGGGTAAAAGGCAAAACCTAGACACACACAGAATTCTTCCGAGTAAGTGAAAAGGGTTAAAGGGAGCAACCAGGTACAATACAACACCCAGTGGTAAATATGCCTGTCTTTTGGATGCACTTTGTGAAAAAGAAAATGAATGGTCCATATAATTTACTAATAACTTCAATGAAACCTGAAACAGGAAAACAGCTAAATATACAGATGAAACACACATTTGACAGGTTTTACCTGCCGATAGATTAGCATTTCTTTCCATTTGACTCTGAAATGTATGCAGCTCTGCCTCCATAGCACTACTCTGCTTAGCAGAAGAAGGTAGATGATCTTACTCTGCTGAAGTTTCACTTTTACTTACTTCTCCTCATCCCACCTTGTGACTGGGCAATGAAAGGAGAAGAAACAGCACATTGTTAAGCTCATCTCTTTTTCACTTTGCTCTCTACTCCCATCAGCATGTTCCTTGCAGAACCTACTCATTGTGGTGCTTCTCCCTAGTCTTAGCTCTGTTGTGGAGACTGTAAAGTGGATAGCACACGTTTGACAGCAAGTTACAAAGTGGTAATAAAGCTGTCCATAGACAGAAGTTTTTATTTCGTTCAGCCAGTGGGCAACAAAAAACCAGATTCCTCCAGCCACACAAACAAGGTGGATATAAAAATCAACACCTAGGACGTTGTATTCTGACAGCAGGACTCATCACTGTCAGAGTACACTGATTTACAACCACTTATCGTCAAACGTTTTCTAGCTTGTCCCTTTTCTCAGAAGTCAATCAAACAATTGATTTCTGTTGAGGAGAGATGACCACACACAGATAGAAATTCAGCTGATCCCTGCTGAACCAGTAAAATTTAGATCAGTGTATGGCCAGTTTTAGGCTGCTTGCAATAAAAATAAATATAATATTCCAGTTACAGTAGACTTTCACGACCGACTTTTCATTTCAGTCTT